CTAGTAATGGTTTGTTGTTTGGCAGCCTGAGTGACTCCCACTTTTCTCTTCCAATCTCAAGTCAGAGGAGCCTCAGTTCTCCAAAAGTTGAGTGCCTCGAAGCCACACAGGGTGGTAATAAATTTCTCAGCAGGCAGCCAGAGCAAACCAGCATGTTTTGTATGGTGCTTAGTCATGGGTTCCTTTCCTGATTCAGTCAGGGTCATGACCAAATAAAGAAACATAGCCCTCTCTCTACCCTCCCTTGCCTTGGAAATCTTTAGTTTATAGGCTAAACCAACAAAAGACCCATCCTTTTCTCAATAGAGCTTCATTTGTGGGTGCGAAAACACAAAAATACACAAAAGGCTTGTTGCCTGAAAATTGGATTATTTATTGGGTACTGTTCTTGTTTCCAAGCCCTGCCCTAACAAAATATCACAAACTGAGTGGTTTATAACAACAGAGATTTGTTCTCTCACAGTTCTGGAAACCAGAAGTCCAAAATGGAGATGTAGGCAGAACCATGCTCCTTCCAATGACAGGGAAAGAATCTGCTCAGCTCTTCCAGTTTCTGGCAGCCCTGGGTACTCCTTGACTTGGGGCAGCACCACTCCAACTTCTCCTGCCATCTTCATAAGGCCTTCATGATGGAAGGTCCGTGACTGTGTTCAAATGTCCTTTTCCTAATAAGAACACCATTCACATAAGGACACTAGGAATGGTGGATGAAGGATCTGGCTTCCATCTACATCATCTTGACTAATCAGATCTGCAGTAATCTCATTCCCAAATAACATCTCATCAGAGGTATCTGTGGCTTTCACATATCTTTATTTTTAAATCAATTCCATTAAAGCCATCACAGGTACCTGTTACAATGCTGTATTTTTTTAAAAGTCCCTGCTGAATTTGACCTCTTAGAGACTTTCTTCCTCTAAGTTAAACCAGAAGTGTAAGGTGTTCTAAGAAAAATGAAAACTTAACTACAAATTGGGTCCTTTCTCAGGGTCTTATCCACCTCATACCTATTAGCCAGTGATGAATCCGCAAACTCTAGACAGCAAGTGCACAAGCAGATTCCGATTGAGTTGTTCCTTGAACCACTCCACACAGTTGAGGCTCTTCTGCCTGCCACACACAGTCCTAGGGGCTGAGGGTATAGGAGTGTACAAAGCAGACACAGACCCCTGCCCTACCTGCCAGTGGGAAGAAAACAGGCAGATGGAAAAAAAATACAGGGACATGAGTATGATCGGGATTTGCAATTTTAAGCAGAGTGGTCAGAAGAGGGCCAGAATAAGGCCAAGGGGCAAGCAATGCATGGCAGAAACAGCAAGAGCAAAGTTTTTGGGCACTAGCCTGAGATCTACCCCTCATTCTGGTGACTGTGTTGAAGTATACTTTGCAGATGAGAGCAAAGCAGGAGACTTGTAAGGCACAGAGTCATATCCTGGGATGAGGAGATGGAAGTTGCTGGAATCTGGGTCTGCTACTGGTATACTGAAATTGAAGTCAAGCCTGAAGATCTGGTGCAGTAGAGATGCCATCAGCTACAGGTGCAAGACTGAAAGCTCGGTTTGGGATAAGGTGAGTTTTTGCCACATCAACTCTATAATCTTTAAAAGAGCTCTATAATTAAGTGGAAATAGGTTCAAAACAATAGACTGCCAAAAGAATATATTCAGAGGTAGTCTTGGTAGTCAAAATTGCCTAGAAAAAACAGTCACTAAGGTAGTGAACAGAAATACAAGTAATTTTTAAAGAAGTAACTGGCAGGAATCAGAAAAGGAGCTTTTAACCCATGGCTTCCCACTGTGTTGGTTAAAAGTGATTACTTCTGGAGGGGAACGTGGGGCAGGGTCTTAATTCTTCATTTACATCTCCTTACTATAATTGTCATTACTTAATTGTCATTTCCATATCCATAAATACACTTTATGACAAAAAATTGGCAATCATTTTTAAAATGGTTTTAAAATTATAGGCCTAAGAAAAATGAAGTAGATTTCTATGTCCTCATGGAGAATAATGGCCAGGATAAATTATTTAAGTTACCGAATAATGGTACATACAACATAATTCTTTGCATGTGTGTGCATACATGTGCCCATATATATGTACAAAGAAAAAGGCCTGGAAGGGCAGATATGAACCATGGTGAGCCAAGGGAGTCAGAAAGGAAGTAATGGGGGAACTTTCACTTTTTACATTATATTCCGCAGCTTTTGCTACTTCTTAAAGGAGTACTTTCACATGTGTTTTAATTTAAGATAAAGGTCTTCCCTATATTTTGCTTTACCCAGAACTCAATTAAATGTCCATACAATCCAAACAGGGCTGAATATTTTAAAGAAACAGGCAACATGAAAATAGAAACTTTCAGTCCCCCTTTACTTTTATACCTGATAAAAATAATCCTTACAGTGTTTATTTCTTTCAATAGCAGTGCTAAAACTTTGAAAAGTTAGGCATGGCTCCTAAAAGAACACGGAATGAAAATATGATAAATGTTTAACTCATTAATGAAAGAACCACCCAGGTGATAAGACAGCATTTGAAAAGCTAAGTATTTATGGGCAATGAAGAACTGGAAATAAAGTTGCCAGGTTAGATGCAAAACTGGTTAGCATTCTTTAGGGCAACAAAACCATAGCTTTTAGGGTTATCTTTTCTACCAGACAGTTCATTTGCATCTCCTCTGAACAAAAATTGACAAGTTACATGTAATCTCAGAGTCTGGACCCCAATCAAGAGTAGAATTAAACAGTCCTCGAGTGGGTCTGTTAGACAGCTCGGTATGATGTTGAAAGAACATGCAATTCCTCCTTTTGCCTTTTTTCTAAGTGTTGGATGCTGTTTCTTAACATAAGATACAAATTTACATACTGGCAGCCACAGTTTTAAAGTTTCCAAATGGAGTTTGCTCATAATATTAATCTGCTTTTCACCATCCTTTGTGTCTGTTTTCAATCAGAAAGAAAAAAGACCAACAAGCAATTCTACATTGCAATAATGTTGCATTATAAAAATGAAATATATTTTAACATCATTTGGATACTTACCTTGATGAGTATTAAAACATTTTATGAGCAATTTAAATTTTTTATCAGGACCCAAAAAGTCTATATATCTGCTTTGAGTTGATGCCTGCCCAGCAACAACAACAAAATCATCAAATTGGTACAAACTGCAGTTTCAGATATTTGTAAGGATTTGGGGCAGACTCTGAGCAATTTACTGAATTTCTTAGTTGCAGCTTCCTCCCCTGTGAAAAAAGACCTTCTTCACTGCCCTGCTACATGCATGACTGTATGCTGATCCACAGTGCTATACCATGGTTATGTACATATTCACAGCCCATAATTTCTGCTTTTTTACTTCCTTACAGGGTTTTTTTTTTTTTTTAAGAGAGAGAGAGGGAGGGGGGGAGAGAGAGAGAGAGAGAATTTTTAAAATATTTATTTTTAGTTTTTCGGCGGACACAACATCTTTGTTTTTTTTTTTGTATGTGGTGCTGAGGATCGAACCCGGGTCGCACGCATGCCAGGCGAGCGCACTACCACTTGAGCCACATCCCCAGCCCCCTTACAGGGTTTTTAAATTGTCTTTTACTACATGGATTATTGTTTTTACCTATGAACTGTTTTTTAACCTAACAGTTTTTCTAAAAACTATATTTATCATCTTCCTTTCCTTTTCAGAAAGAGTAAAATGGGGTCTTTTGAAGTCTCCTAACATTATATATGAAATGCAACAAGTCTCTCAGTCTCCCTTCAACCCCCGACCAAGTGCCATTTGGCCATTTGTGATTGGAATCCCCTTCCCCTAATTTACTGTTACATTTTTTGAGAAATATGGGAAATGTTAAAATCCGAATTTATGTAGAAGCAGTTAAAATTACACACTTAGCTCACATAGCAACAGCACAGTCTGCTTTTTACTAGGCACTTGAAAAGTTAGAACACATGTATGTCAACAATCAGTTTTTTAAAAATAATAGTCTATTAGCCTAAACACCCTAAATAAATTCAACACCACAGCTGCAGGCAGAGACATACCTACTAATTTCCTTAACACAGCTTCTAGCCAAAGACTATCACATGAAGCAAATTAGGATCATGCTGCATATTTGGACAAAACCAGAAGAGGCATCTTTGATCTGTTTTGAGCATGTGCTATTATGTTTCTGAAGCACACCCATGCTTGGTCTTTAATTTGCCTAAAGGTGCTTTTCTGTGTTATAACACTATTAAGTACAGTTTGCATGCAGGAAGAGCACGAAACCCAAAAAGCTTGAAAAAAATGGTGCAGAAACTGAACATACTTTAAAACCATCTAACTATTTCAAATAGATGAATTCTATCTCAATAAGGCTTTTTTAATGCATTAAAAAAAGTAAACATTCATGTTATAACAGTTTTGTGAAAATTGCTCACTTTCCAATGGTTACACTTGTTTTCATTGTTGAAACAATTTGTTTTCTTGTGAAAAGTATTATGGAATAAAATGGAATTCATAATTTTTCCAATTAAAAGTAATACAAATATTTTTTGTTTAATGGCTTTTCAGTTAGAAAAAGCATTTTCAGGGACAAATGGAAGTTGTTAAGCAAGAGATAGGTTTAATTATTTGAAACTTCTCGTTAAATTTTTAAGGGGACTAGACTCAGCAGAGATGGGCTGTTGAGGCCAGAATATATATACTGAACTGATTTGCCCTGAGTGGTGAGGATAATTATATTATGCCCACTGAGAAAGACTTATGACCTACAAAATGGCAGAGGGCCAAGCCTATGTTTAGGATAGAGAAGCTAGTAAAAGACAGAAACCCAACATAGATTCAGAAAAGAATAATCTGATGATGACTAAAAGCTGACTTGGAAATTTAAGCTTGCTTTCACCAGCTGTACCATAGTTTGCTATCGTAAAGTCAGTCCAGGATTTTGTTCAGTTCCAGACTTCCGAAAAAGACAAATAGCTTCATGCTTCTCAATTAGTGTTAAGAATAACTTTGTAATCTCAAAAGTAACATGTCCATTTATTCTATTTTACTATACTTTGAGAAAGACAATTCTTATAACAAACTATAATTCTCTTCTACTTTGTTTTTGTAGAGGGAAAAAATGGAACAATTCAATTTAGGTACTTTTCTAGTAGGAAAATGAAAAGAACTGAACAAATTCTGAAGTATGGGAACAATAATGAACCATCATAAGAGTATCTTTAAGGTAAATATCAAAGGTATTATTTAGGCAACCAGAAACTTAGAACCCAAATGTATAATGCCTCATTTTGAAGACCATAAATGAGGTAAATTTATTATTCCCTTGTTATTTCCAGTAACAAGAAAAAAAATAAGTCCATCCATTCCCAATAAGGAAGTGCTGATTCTGAACTTCACTGATATTTTTCCTTTAAAAGGATGAAGAAACTTTGAATAATAAAATCCAGACAACCAAATGAAATTTTTAAAACAATTTTTCTTTTTCATATTATATCTGATCCGAGGCAAGAGTAAAGTAAAGAGAATATAAGCCAAGAAAAAAATACAGTTATATAAGTAGCATTTAAGTATTTGATTCTCTTGAACAGAATAGCTTTAAGCTCTCCCAAGGTCTAGAGACTTTGCTTTAAAAAAAAAAAAAAAAGTTTTCTTAAAAGGGATTTTTCTGTCTTCATGCAACTTTATAAGTTCTTTTAAAGACATTTCCAACAAACAAAAAGATAAATCTTATTGGAAAATGTGACTAATTCCAGAATATAGACTTTATTTCTGGCCATCTAACTTAATTTCCTCTTCATAGTCATTCACCTGCAGCCCAAATTCTCCATGTGTCTTGCCAGATATTATTTATGAACTACAAACAAGGCAATTAGTTTGTCTGCTTCGTGAGATCTCTTTTACTTAAAAATTAAGAAAATTATTAAGGCTGATGATGGTTATTGCATCTCAAATGGCCACCGAAGCTTGGCTGCGCCTTCCTCTGGAGACAACAGGCAAACACACTTTCCTTTCTCCCCAGGAGGGTAATTTCCATTCCAGAACAGCTTTCCTGCAGCAGCAATCAACTAGTTTGGTAGATCTCAAGATGAGGGTCTGTATCTTTGAAAGCCAAACCACAACAATAAAAATATTCCACTATAGATGGGACGTGCTGGCTTTGGCTTGTTTTCCCTTCAAGCTCGTCCCAGTTCTAGAGAGTCTCATCAGAACGCAATCGCTTGTTGGCAGCACATGATAAAATGGAACTTTCAAAGCTTTACATTTACCATGTGTTTCTGTCAAATCCTTACCTCTCTATCCACCCCACCCCACCTGCAAAAACATTAATTTGAACAGTGCTGCTTATATAGTAAGTATTTAGTAAAAGTTGATGACAATAATTATGGTCATTATCCAGAGACAGAAAGGTATGTGCAATATTTAAAATTCTAATGTCTTATCAATGATTTCTAGAGAAAACTAAGTATAAGTTGAGTTCTTTCAAACTGCTCTCCTGCAGGACATATCTTTATTTTTAAGCCCAAAATGTCTGTGTATCTTGGTCACATAAAAACGGCTTTACTCTCAAAGCAAGTGGAATGGGGAAAAAATGAGCAGGGGATGAATGATTCTAGATTAAAAGAAATCAGAGACATAACACAATGCAATGAAACCTGATTGGTTATAGACTCCGAAATAAAAATCTACACATTTTGGGAATAATTTGGTAAATCTAATTTGGACTGGATATGGAGGGCTTTGTGACACTTTAATTCATATTAGGTATTATAATAATATTGTGGTTATAACAAGGATGCTTTTTATTCTTGGAAGGGACAGGCTGAAACACTTAGGGGTGAAGTATTGTGATGTTTATCTTATTATGAAGTGGTTCAGCAAAATGTATTAATTTTAGATGTAGAGGAGAAACAAACGTGGCACAATGTTAACAACTAATGAATCCAAGTGAAGAACTTATAGATGTTGACTGTATTATTCTTACAACTGTTCTATAGATGAAAAATTTTTAATTATAAGTTGGGAATTAAAAAATTAAAATGTTCCACTGAAGAAAATACCATACATTTCTTTAAATATTTTACTATAATTATATGCAATTATACATTAATATTACTTATTTACATTCAACAGTTTCTCGACCTGAAATTAACAACTTTAAATACATGAACTCTCAGTACCAATGCATGAATCTTTTTATCTTAAATATAAATCAAAGTAGCTATTCTAAATTAGAGCCCCTAGACGCAGATGTAAAGATCATGAATTAACATTTCAACTGAGTTAAAAATTTCAATAATTTTTTTCAGTATTTCTTCTTTGTTTTTCTTCTTTGTCTAAAATAGTCTGTTTTAAGCTCAAAATAGCATCTTGAAATCCAGGATTTAAGTCTAGTACTTTCTTGAAATCTTTCAAAGCATCATCGAAATATCCTGTACCAGAACCCAAAAAATAAAAGAGAAAAAAAGCTGAGTATTTGTGAATGTTATTCATAGCAAAATCTGGATATACAACTTTTATGTTTATGAGCGTTTGACCACTTGTAGTATACCAAGTTTTTACTCTTAATATAGGGGTGTGTAAATTAATTTTGTGTGTTCTTATGGAATAATTACACCTAAAATTAACTGTGGAGGGCTGGGGGTAGAGTGCAAGGCCCTGGGTTTGATCCCCATACAGCAGGAAAAAAAAAAAAATGAAGTTGGCTATGGTTTATTTATAAGATTTAATAGGTTAAGGTTAAGTAGCATAAGTCCTAAAATTTTAACAAAACTATACAATTGCAGTAAAATTGAGAAATAGGAAATTAGTTTTATTTTTAATTTTAAATGAGAAACAGGATCCACAGTCCCTTTAATAAAGGGATCTGAAACTTCTTCACTTTCTATTGTCTCAAGGGTCTTCAGAGATCTTAACTCAGAAAAGTGTCACAAGTGACCATCTCCATCACCCTCATTATGCAGTTGGGAATGCAGAGGCACAAAGTAATGGGGTGCCCCCCACTCCTGCACCCAGGTCCAATTCCCACCCCAGTGCTCTGCTGTGATCTACAATGGCCATCAAAAGCCTAAAATAAACTCAGGTACTCTTCTTCCTTCCATGCTCCAATCCTAAAGTTGGTGTTACCTTTAAAACTTGATGACTGCTACATTTGTTTCACATTTAATAGCTCTGAAATAACAATACAATCAATGAAGGGAAGCAAAAATAAAGAGATAAATTTAAAAATTTCTTACCCAGCCTATACAGTATCAACCCTCTGTTGTAATATGGAACTTCAAAACTGGGTTGAACTTCTATGGCAGATGTGTAGTCATCCATGGCTTCAAAAAAATCAACCCTCAAGTACTTGATTTGCCCTCTGTTGTTATACGCAGTAGCCAAATCCTCAGGGATGCATTTGCTTTAAACAAAAAGTTCACATTAAACACACAGTGTTACCAAATTCCTCTCATTTCCATTTTCATACTCTTTTGGGCATTGTCAAACTTCATAACCTATAACATGCATTGTCTATCTACACTGAAAAATCATGCAAGTAAATAAGGAACTGAAATGAATTTTTGTCTAATCCTGTTACTTTTGTAGGGCTACAGAACTAAGATGTCAAATTGAAAAGCACATGAATTTTATAGGGTGCTCAACACTCCTATTCACTGCCAACATGTTTTGCTGAATATAATATTAAAATGACTTCATTTTCTAAGCACACACCAGCAGGGCAAAGAAGACAGATCAAATCATGTTGAGCAAGAAGGGAAAGGCAGCCCAAAGTTCAAGTTTGCTACGGATGGATCACAAAGTGAACCACCAAATTTACTTTCAAAATTTGAAGTGACCTTAAAACAATGAGACTTGAAATCATCTTCCACCAAAGAAATAAATACAAGTTAACCCTAGATGAAAATTCAACACATTGATTCCAGAGAGTGATCTCCAGGATGGAGGTGCCCTCTCTTCAGCCTTAGCTGAAGAACACCAGGCTGGCTCCTGAAGGGAGGGTAGATTCCGGTTAACTTGGGAGTTCTGTGTGCAGAATCAGTTCTGCCCGTGATAGGCTCCAGAGATGCCCCAAGAGCTTGAAGTGAACAGACTTTCCTATGGGGACTGGACATCCTGCAGTTCCAAGAAGCCACCGGTTCGACAGGTCTCAGTCCCCTCCCCATTACTTGAAACTCTCTCTGTACTGGACAACTATCTGCACAGAGAATATTAGGGATTCTTCTCTGAGTCAGAGATGATTCTGCTTCCTTTCTTTTTTTCAAAAGTGACTCTCAAATTCAAACCAAACAGAAGCTGCAGATTAAACTTATCTGTCATTTCTTCATTATACCCCATAGTGCAAAGTGTAGTCCTTAGAAAATATCTGTGACATTGGTCAGCTACTTAACATATCAATTCTTTATCTTACATAAGTACTGTAACCACTGCTGTCAGCTGAGGTACTCAGTCTAAGTTTGCTAAAAATGGAGAGGAACTGCCACAATTTTAGAAAATCTCTGTTTTGTAAGCCCTTACAGATTGATACAAGATTACTTCTAGATGCCACTAACACCACTGTTAAAAGTTGGAGAACCACAGGGTACAGGCCCTACATCTGTCTGTTAGAACACTAGTCGAACTGCTATCCAGTAGTTTGAAGAAAAAAAAGAAGTGTCAGGACTTCAGTAAAGTTTTAGTTATAAATTTGAAGGTTCAGAGTTTTGTTATAAATTCTTATATTCAAAGGATCACACAGAATGTTCAATTTAGTTAGATCTCACTACAACAAATTCTAAAAGCCTACTTTTTCATGCAGAAGTTTTGCTTCCAATTTTAAAGAAATGGGATAACAGTTGACACTAAAAATTTTTTTTTACGTTAGGATTTTTGTGAAGATAGTATTTCTTGTCATGAAATTTAACCAAGTTACCTAATCCAAATGTGGATTTTTAGCATTTGCTAGCTTTGGCAAAGACAACGTACTTGAAAATTAGATTACAGCTATGATTGCACCTTTGGATATTAAAAAGAAAATGTGATAAACCATTCAGAGTATAAGGCATTTAAAGATTGCAAATGGGGGCTGTGGTTGTGGCTCAACGGTAGAGAGCTCACCTAGCATGTGCAAGGTCCTGGGTTTGATCCTCAGCACCACATAAAAATAAAATAAATATATTTTTTTTTAAAAAAAGAATGCAAACAGTGTTTCAAAACAACTCAGGGCCCCAATATTTTAAAAACAAGTTTAAACTCTGAAGGATATAGTTAGAGGGGGAAGTTAACAGAATTTAATTTCAATTCATGACTTCCTAGAGGAATTTTAGAGCTGTTAGGAAAGTGGAGGCTTATTTTACAGATGAGAAACTGAGGCTGAGAAAGGAGCAGTCCTGCAGCAAAGCCAAGATGAGAATACACACATGATAAAGTCCCTTCAAATAAGCCACGGCAAATTTTTTTTTCCTGTGTTGGTAAAGGACCAAAATTACATTTGCTATGGACACTTGGGTTCTGTGCTGAGACATGCAATGGAGGAAGTCTAGTTGGCATCCACATAATCTACTGCTGAATATATTTTCAAACCTACTAGACAGGTCTATTCTGAGAGATCAAAACAAGGATAGAAAACTAAGTTTCCTATGTTTACCTTTTTTTTTTTTTTCAAGGGGGGGCAGTGTAAGGCAGAGATGGTGGCATCATCTCACTGTTCATTCATTAACTATCATTCTAATGTATTCTTGAGAGAACAATTTTATCTTTCTAGTTTAATTCTACATGAGTTTAACACGGTAAGAATCAAGTCTTCGGTTTTTTTATTAAACTTCAAAAGACTACGGGCATCTGAACAAGAAAAATCAAATCCTCCAGGGGAGAGGAGGATGGTGCAGATCTCTCTCAATTGTCAAGGAAATCCAACCAGCCCCTTTCTGTTCTTTCCTCACCTTGGTCCATTCTACACCACCAACAAGTACGACAAAGGCAAAACTTGAAGCAACAACAAATGCTACACATCCAGGAATAAACCCCAAAGATGCTCTGGACAAGTGGATGTGGGCAGGTGAGGCCACTAAAATCACAAAAAAGAAAACAACCAGACTTTACATACTTCCTAGCAGAACCACACACATCTGCTTATAAAATGTTCTTGCCATAATGTTCAATTAAACCTCAAGATTTTACTACCAATTCACAGATGACCACATTAAATGACATCAGAGGGATGCATTCAACAGATCCAAAATATGGAAACTCTCAAGACACAAGATTCAGTTTTCTCAACAAATAAACTGCTGGGGGGGGGGGGAGGAGAAAAAAAAAAAAAAACACGGAGGAGGGCATTAAAGATTCGGGGTCCAGATATGCAACCTAACTAGAATCAATGGCTAATAACACACCAGGCAGTAACAGTAAAGTACTTAGGCCAATCAGGAAAGTCCCAACACTGACCGGTTGTTTGGTATCATCATGGTTACTTTTTAGGAATCCTTAATGTGAGGAAATGCCTTCCTAAACACCCTTGAACGGCATGTCTGTGTTAACTGACAACGTTTAAGCGAGGCTGCGGCAAGGTGTTCCGACGAGCCACCTCCCCCCGGGTCTCGGGTCTCCGCTAACTGGGGACGACAGTCCGCTGCGCTCCCCGCCTCGGGCTCGGGGAGTGACCGGGCGGCCGGACCAGGGGTCGGGGGCGGAGGAGGAAGCAGAGGCTGCGCGCGCGCGCTCCCGAGGCGGCTTCTCGAGGCGGGCTCCTGCCTCGGGTTCTCCCGGCCGTGTCCTAAGCCTCGCCTCGGTCTTTCCGAAACACAACCGGCCCCGGAACTCCGGTGAAGTAACGTGGGGACTAGACGATCCCAGCCACGCACCCTTAAGCCCGAGACACTGTCGCCCCACCTCTCGCGATAGTTACCTCCCCGGATGCGCGCCGACGGGGGCTGCACCAGCGCCCTGGCGAATATAAGCGGAGTACAGCGCCTCGGCCTCCGCGTACTCCCCCTTGTCAAAATGAGCCTGGGCGAGTGCTAGGGTAGCATGACTTCCTTGCCCTTGGTGTCCTTCCATAGCGGTCGAAGGCCTGGCTCTCGGAGGGGAATAGGGGTTTACTTCTGAGGGATTTGAGGCGGCGCCACAGAGCTCCCACTGCACCCCGGAATTTAGTTTACCAACAGAACCTCGGCGTTACAGGGAGGAAGTTTGAGTCTTGTGAGGACTCTTCTTCTCGCGAGATAATTGGTCCGCTAACGGAACGCGCGGGAATTCGAGGGAAGCTTGAACAGGTTTTAATGAAGTGTTTGTCTTGTTATCATTGGTTCCACCTGTCTCCCTTCCTGCAAAAATCGACAGGTCGTCCCAAAGGATTTCTAAATCCACTTCTGACGTCGCGAGGCACGTGCCCTCAGTCACAGTGCACTAGAGCCCATTGTGCTGGAAGCGGAAACAGGAAGCCTGCGGTGGTTCTACGAGTGGCTCTTTGTTTTGCAGCTTGCTTCCGGTGCAGCGCCACGCTTCGCAGAATGCGGAGTTTGGGGTGTTAAGTAGACAGTGGTTACCCCGAGACATTTGGGTTGGAATCCTCTAGGCTTCGTGTCCCACGGCTCTGAGCCCGAATTCAAACCATACCCAAGGTTAGCTCCAACAACGGAGATGGCGAACTTTTCCACCTTAACCTCAGGACTTGTGTAGGGAAGGCTTAATTAAATCGTATACTGTGTAGAGAGTTTGCAGTGTTCGATATTTTGTTGTTTTAATGGCTTTTAACATATGCCAAAAGATAATATCATTTAAATGTATGCTATTGGGAGAATGAGTTAACCATTTGAGGAAAAATACTTTTAAGCATGTAAGTTACCAGTTCACAATACTCTTATTCCAGGTAAATTAGAAAGTTAAAATATTTTTTAAAGTCTCCAAAAATAAAAAGTAGGATGAAAGATAATTATCTCAAATATAAACAGGTCTTTATACATTAAAAAAAAAAAAGGAATGCTATGGTTTTATTGTGTCCACCAAAGTTTGTGTGTTGGAAGTTGAATCTCCAATGCATCAGTGTCTGGAGGTAGATCTAATAGCAGTTATCAAGAGGGTTCCACCCTCATGAATAGATTAATGCCAGTTATTTAAAGGGCTTGAAATTGAAGCAATTTCTCTTGTTCTCTTGCCATGCTATGCCTTCTGCAATATTATGATGAAGCAAGAAGGCCTTAACCAGTTAAAGTCTCATGACATTGGACCAGGCTCCAGAGCTGTAAACCAAATAAATTCCTTTTCTTTACAAAATTACCTAGACTGTGGTATCATTACCGCAACACAAAACTGATGAAGAAAGAAAAAAATTACAAAGAATCTGGTACAATTAACTATAAAAATTAGGCAGAGATGAAAGAAATTTTCAACTTACAAAATAATTATCATCTTTAACATATACAGAACTTAATGCTCAAAAATCACTTCTTGGGCATCTGCTATGTAGCAGATTAAAAACTGGGAATAGTGAACAAGATGAAGTCCCCTGCCCCCACGGAGCTTACAGCCTAGCAAAAAGACACAATTTTAAAATCAGTGATTTAGTGAGTTGGAAAAAAAACAGTATAGGGGATAGGGAAGAGGTGATTTCTGTTTTATGAAAGTTGGGTGAAGACTTCATAGGAAAGGTGACTGAGTACAGACCTAAAGCAAATGAAGGAGCAAGCCAAACTGTAATGGGTGAGGAAACCAAATATAAAAGCCATGAAGTAGAAGATTTGCTCAAGGAGTAACAAGAATGTTCATGTGTCTCAACATCCAGTGATCTGAGAGGAAGAATAGCAAGATGTGTACAAGATTAGAACAGAAATAAACTAGTAGGAAACCAAATATAGGTTCTTTGAAAAGATCAACAAAAATTAATAAGCCTTTAGCTAGTTTGACCAAGTAAAAAAATTACATCAGAAGTGAAAGTGAGGACATTACTTTTAATTCTACAGAAATAAAAAGGATTATAAGAGCACTATGAAGAACTATATGCCCCAAAAAATTGATAACTAGATGGAACTGGCAGACTCCTACAAACAGAATACCAACCAAGATTGAATCCTGAAGAAATAGACATAACTAGTAAAATTGGATAATTAAAAAAAAAAAAACTCATGCTTATACTGATGAATTCTACCAGTTGAGGCAATTCTTCTTAAATTCTTTCTAAAAATAAAACAGGAGGGAATACTTGTTAACTTTATAAAGCTATCTGTTCTCATATTAAAATATCACTTATAACACTGATGGGAAAAAAACAACAAAAGACTAGCAAATCAAATTCAACAGCACGATAAAAAGAATTATATACCATGACCAAGTAGGAATTATTCCTGGAATGCAAGGCTGATTCAATACATGAAAATCAATCACCATAATACACCACAATAACAGAATAAGGAGAAAAATTACATGATCGTCTCAGTTCATACAGAAGAGGCATTAGACAAAATTAAAACCTCATGATAAAAACAAGGTGGAAATAGAAGGAATCTACCTCAACATAGTAAAAGTCTATATGAAAAACCTGCAGTAAACATTAGATCATCAGGTTCAATAGTGACTGAAAGATTTTTCTCTAAAACCAGGAACAAGGCAACGATGCTCACTTCCATCACTTCTACTCAATGTAGCAATGAAGATCTAGCCAAAGCAATTTAAAAAGTGAAAAGAAAAGAGTATCTCTGTTCACACACACACATGCATACACATACATGCATAAGTATACATACATGTTTGTGTCCCTAAAGATACCACCAAAAGAAAACACTGTTAAAAACTAGCAAATGAATTCAAGGAGGTGAAAGACTTGTCCAATGAAAACTACAAAACACTGTTAAAGATACAGTTTCTTAAGTTTTGCCTGTTTATTCTCTTGAATCACACTAAAATATAAATTAATGCTTTTATTTTTTAAAAAGTTTTTTACTTTCTCATCTATATTCTTGTATATTTCTGAAATTTTCAACCATGAACATGTTACTTTTATATTTAAAGCAAATAAATATTAGTTTCTAAAAGAAAAAATAATGAATTGAGAAAGTAATCATAAAAATAAACAGTAGGGGACAACATAATATTATTATTTTCACTTTGGAAACCCAGAGGCAAGAGCTTGGAGCTGTGTCAGCAAATTTAGTACTCTTGATTTTTTTTCTCAAAAGTTTGGTAATGTTGATTTTCCCCCTTATTTCTAAATGAGAATATGTGATCTTTAAGGAGTAATTCTCTGCAATGTCAATCATCTGACATTTGCCCTGTACTTGTATAAGGTTTGGGTTTTTTTCCCCTTTGACAGCAAACATGGTGCAATACATCTACTGTACCTGCCCTCTCCTTACCTTCTCCATTGTGCAGCACAACTCCCTACTCAACAACCCCCACCAAAATAGACAAATGAAGACACATAAAGAAAACCTGGGTTAAACACAAGTCCTTTTTTCTTCAGTATTTATTATTTTCACATAATAATAAAAACCAAAGGTCTCAGCAATTTCAAAATATAAGCAAAGCAACTTAAAATGAAGTTAGCATTTTTTGAGTGTGGTAAGTCAACAATGCTACAGTGCTTATTAGGCACATTGCTTATGTGTATAGCTGCATCAGTTGGTTCTGTCATTTGAATACTTATGCCTACCATACCATTTTAAAACATAATGTAATTCAAATAAAGAATGACTCAGCATTGCTCAAAGTAAGTCCATGTTTATGATGGCCAGAAAAAAAAAAAGAACAGCAATTTCATTATCCTGTCTCCAGTACACTACCTCCGTCCATCCAACTTCTCTTCAGGTATTTGTTTTATATAGCCACTTTTGCTTCTCTCTGTCCCTTTCATCAAGGGAGAGTTGAATAAAACCAATCAGATAAATTCATACTATAGGTTCTAGTACCATTTTTAAGTTGAACAAAAGTCCCAAGACATAGTGGCAGATCATTTAAAAACTTCCACAGATTTAGATCCCCAAGAATCATACACATTTTTACAATAGTAGAACAGATGTATCTCTTGTGTGCACATACATAGTTATATATGTGTGGATGGATATACAGATACATATACATATATGAAAATTAGATCCACAAGGTATCAGAGTTTATCTGAATCAAAACTGAACATGAAGTTCAGCTTGGCAGCAACTCGGGATCTATCTAAAATAATTAGTTGGAGGAAAAATCCAGGGCTTAGGCAGATGGAGCTAGATGGCTTCAAGAGAAAGTTCCTGAAAGGTTTATTAGGAGAGGCTTAGGAGTTAATGAGTTCTCAATAGATTCCTGGGTAAGAACGGGATAGGGAAAGAAGAGACACCTAGGCATCAGACCATGGACCAAGACTCACAACTAAACAGAGTCCTGCAGGAGCTTCTCACAATGACGGAACTAGTGACAGGCACACTATCCCTACAACTCTGAAAATTTCTTTCATTGATAAAGCAGAGAATAGTCTCATCCCTAAAAAACAAAGTCCTGTGGAAAGATATAATTAAGTTCAACAGGAGATAAGTTCTCTTGGGCAGATATCCTGTAATGCACAGATTATGTCAATCTCTAAATTCAGCTTTGCCCATTCCCATGTTTCCCCCATTGCCCATCTACCTCCCCAAGGTTGTATAATGAATTAGTAACCTTGGCATGGGGAGAAAAAATATTTCTTATTTGGAATGTTGCCATAGGATCATGTAACCAACCATGAGATAAATAAATGATAGCAATAGAGATAGGAAAAAAATAAGACTGACTTGTATATGTTTTACATGAAAGTTAACCTTATTATTTCACAGTTGTACCTCTGCATAAAAGCTATTTTATTACATAAATTTTGTACAAAAATCCAACTATAAAAAAATGAAGCTTATTTTCATATAAAACTTATAGAAAAGAAACCTTATTTTATATATACAGTTAGAGCTTTATATGTTACATGTATTTTTAAAATTATATACATTCGTCTTTCTGTTATCCCACTGAACTATGGCATAAGGGACAGAAGTTGTAGTTGCTGATTTCCTGAGCAAGAACACAGTGCTTGCACACAGCACACATCCAGAACTGATACTCAGTGATTGGGCTTCCTGTGGCAACGCATGTTGGCAATTTCCCTTCTCCCCTGGAGAAACAAGAGGAAAACAGTTAATTATACTGTAAAATTTCCAATGACTCTAATAATGCATTTAATAGCCTAAAAACTGAAGAACGAAAAACATTTCAAAATAATTCTTACAATGAGAAAAAGCATTAATATGCATATAGATTAAATAAAAGAGTTTATTGTTAAGGTACAAATTGAGTGCTTTAATTATTGTATTACACATCATACACATAGAAATTCAAGCTTCAAACAAGGGAGAATGGTAGCTATAAACAACAATTAGCCTACCCTTCAAGAAGGCTGTCCAGTTCTGATTTTCTGTTATCTTTTGGATTATGTTTGGTGAAGATTTCTAGAGCGAGGTCTTCATATTGCTGTTTCTGTTCCGAACTGAGAGTCTCTAATGATTCAAGTTTAATGAAAGCTTTGGAACAAGTACCAAAAGCTCTACTGGCACACGCACAGAGTGCTAACAGAGAGTATATCTCAACTGCAGGGATGATGTCTTCATAGTCTCTCAGGTGAAGAGCTAGGAAAGAGAGAACAGTGTGAGTATTTAAAAATAATCACGATATCATGAACATGCATGGGAAAGAATGTAAATAAAGGTGCTGTCGTTTAATCCACATGAACTTGAATGAACTTAAAATAATGTTGAGAGAGAGGAGCACTAATAGAAAAAGTAGGGTCCATGATTCCTAGGTTCTGAGAAACCAACTGACAGCTCAGTCCTGTGAAGAATATAACCACCAAATGATGCACATGGCTGACCCACCCAGAAAGATACACAAGAGAAAAAAAAATGTCTTGGTGTTGAAAGACACATCTTTTCTTCCATTTAAATTATAAATTTCTGGGGCATTCCACAGAAAGTAGATTAATATTACACTATTAATATTAATCATAACTGTTAATCATAACTCTTAAAATATCATGTTTATTTGTGCAAAAATAAAGGCAAAGAAGTATGAAATCACATGTTCTCTCTTATTGTTTTTAAAAATAGATCAACCCATAAGGTCTCAAGTTTTCAATTCTGCAAATGTAAGTTTTCAAATAGTATTTCAAAGTTACCATAGTGGTATACATGTTGCTCACTTTCAGTGTTCAGATGTTCCACATCTGGGATGAAAGAACAAAACTGGTTAATACTTTTTGTTTGTCTCATTGAAACAAGACTCAGAAAAAGGAATTGAAAATGAACCTCTAAATTGTCCATTTAGACCATTTATTTTAATAGCTATTACATCTTAATTTGCAATTCTTCTATGCTAAAGACATTGTAATCTTTCTTTAAAATGTACCATAGTACTAATATCAGATTTGTACCTAATTTGTATCTCTTTCTTCTCTAGATCTTGCAGTCTTAAAATATCCCTTTTATCATAATATACTGGAAATGTCACAAAACAAGTGTAAAATAATATACTCATGTATTTTATAATTAGATTCCTCAGACTGGTTCTGAGGTCAAGTGTTGACAACAAAGTTTAGTGAAATGTATAAAAAAAGGTATAAAAATACATTCATTTAGTTACAATAAATAATACCTTCTAATTTCATATCTGGCACATAATAGGTTCATAGGCAATTTACAGGACATATGTTGTTTCAAATCATTTTATAACTGAAAAAAAAAATTGGAAGTATATGGAAATCTCCACCCAATAGGTAAAAAAAATCTCAAGTTAAAGGTCTAATTTTTCTTTTAATTTGTCTACAAATGGTACATAAATTATAAAAATATGACTTTACACAGTGCTTAATTTATATCAAACATTAATTAAAATTAACATTAGTTATAAAATAAAATATTAAAACTTATTTTATATTACTAATAACCAGTTAGACTTTTTCATAGACCCATTGCTAATGAAAACAAAAGTAGAAATAAACTACAAATATTTAGAGCATAAGGAAGAAAACTAAGATCTTTGGAAAGATTGCCAGTAAATAGATGGAACCGGAGACTAACATGCTAAGTGAAAGAAGCTGATGCCAAAAAACCAAAGGTGGAACGTTCTCTCTGATATATGAATACTGACACACAATGAGGGGTGGGGTAGGAAAGAACTGAAGTACCTTGGATTAGACAAAGGGAAATGAAGGGAAGTGAGAAGGGATGGGAGTAGAGAAGACAGTAGAATGAATCAGATCAGACATGACTTTCCTCGTGTATGTGAACACACAACCAGTGAAACTCCACGTCATGTACAACCATAAAGATTGGATCTAATAAGAATAAATTATATTCCATGTATGTATAATATGTCAAAATACACTCTACTGTTATGTATACCTAAAAAGAACAAATTTAAATTTTTTTAAAATAAGGCCACAAAATAAAAGACATGCAGGACAACTGCAACCTAAAAAAAAAGAATCTTTGTAAAGAAAAGCAGATACAGTGGAATGCAATAGGCATCATTAACTTAAGTACAAGTATGAAGACACTAATGGTGTGACTCTACTTTGTATACAACGAGAGACTTGAAAAATTAGGCTCTATATGTATGCTATGAATTGAAATGCATTCTGCTGTCATGTACAACAAATTAGAATAAATAAATAAATTTTTAAAAATACAGATACACCAATGGTTTTTAAACACTGATTCTTCTGGATTAAAAAAATCACAAATAAATTATCGATACCAATATTAAATATATTAACTTAAAGCAATGCTAACACAAAGTCCAACAGGACTAAACAACTCCTACCCTCAAAAAGATTATGAAGTTGATCTGGATGAACTAACATAAGAAAATACCCTTTAAAAAGAAGGGCAATAGCTTAAATCCCAGATATTGAAATTTAAAAATAAAACTACAAGCACAGTACCAGCATAGAAATACATAAATAGAAAATAATAGTCTAGGAAGGGATTAGATGCATAAATTTAATTTCATAAAGGGAGAATTTCAAATCTGCAAGGGAAGAATACATGTTTAATAAGTGATTTTCGGTTAACTAAGAAGTTACAATAAAATATAATATGTAATAACTTTAGAGTGAAGGACTTATTAAGCATGACTCCTAAGTGAAAAATATGAAATCAGACTGACAGACATGACTGTATCAAAACTCACTATTAATATCATCATCATGCTGTCACTACTCATGAAGTCTAGGCACCATAACAAGTGATTTTTCTTTTCAGGAACTTCTCTCTTCATCATTAAAACAATGAGAGGAAGATACTATTACTTCCACTTTCCATAAAAAAGAAACTACCGCCCAGTGGTGGCTCACACCTATAATCCCAGCGGCTCATAAGGCTGAGACAGAAGGACCATGAATTCAAAGCCAGGCTCAGCAAAAGAGCGAGGCACTAAGCAACTTAGTGAGACCCCGTCTCTAAATAAAATACAAAATTAGGGCTGGGGATGTGGCTCAGTGGTTGAGTGCCCTTTAGTTCAAACCTGGGTACCAAAAGAAAAAAAAAAGAGAGAGAGAGAGAAGAGAGAAACACTACAGCTGGAAAAGCTAAATAATGAAGTTATAACTGCTGGGGAAATCAACATATATGATAGAGGTTTGTTATATATAATCTCTTAAAGAGTTCTTACACAAATAGTGAAAACATGACTACTGTCATGTCAAGCTAAAACAGCAGTAATGTCACAGTAATATCACTATAGAATTATAGAAATATTCAAATAAGAGAATTTCTCTAAGATTTTTTAAAAATAATTCCACCAGAATGCAGATTAATGATTACTCAGGATTAGCGAGTGATATGCGCTTGGTGATAATATGAGCAGGAGATGAGTGATATCACAGTGGCCCACCCAGTGCAGGGGGGAGGGCCCACGGGAGAAGTGTGTTGAATAACAATGTTTGCACTGCTGTCATGTCAAGCTAAAATAGCAGTAATGTCACAGTAATGTTTTAACCATTCATATGCTTTGGTTTATAACATAGATCTCATAATTAGTTCTTAGGATTTAATATATTTAAACTCCAGCATACTGTTAAGCCAAAATAAGTTCTAGATTCAGATACTACATGTAAATAATTTTCTATAAATTATAATCCATAAATAGCATGGAATATTAGATGACTATTAAAAGTGATACAGATCTATGTTTACCAATGAGAAAAGATAATTACAACATACTGATGGGGGGGAAGTAAGCTCTGGTATGATGAAACATCTGAAAGGAAGTTTACCCAAAGGTCAGTGATGATCATCTCTGACTTACAACATTATTTTATAAATTATTATTATTTATATTTATTATATTATTATACAGATATCTCCAAAAGGATAGAGACTGGTCTATCAAGTGTCTGGCTTTGAATGGACAGCATATAAATACTACACACATTCTTTTGCTTATCTCAAACTTCTGATATTTCTATGTACCTTCGACATATTAAAAATATTTTTAAACTTCAAAAAGGGGAATGAACAAAATAATATATACAAATAATCCAAACATATAAAAATAAATCCATAGCAAAAATGTTATCAAAACCAAAACAAAGACAAGCTGAAGGAATTGGCCCTTCACTCAATTTAAAATTTTTCGGACAAACTATATACACAGTTGAAATGCCCACCTGTCTTCAGTGCAGTGTCAACATAGCCCTCGTAGAGCTGCCTTTGCGCAAGGATAAAGAAGTGGTAAGCCTCAGCCCCTCTCCAGGCATTGTCTGTGAAGCGACTAGTTGTAGACAGAACTTCCTCTTCCAGCAAACCAGCCAAAGCAGAAGTGGCCTTCGAGAAAAGCAGACAGCACTCTGGGTCAGCTCAAACACACACAATGCCAGCTACCACACAACCTCGTCATTACAATGAAGGTAACCTCTGAAACTGGCAGGAGCATATCTAAAGGACCAGATTTATGACTATAAAACTTTTTTATGGATTTTTTCCATTATAATTCATATTTTGTTAAACTGGTATGATCAAATCTTAAAGTAGGATTGATTAAATTTAAGTTGATATGAGATCCATTTACACATTAAAATAACATACATATTCTAAAAAAGATTTCTGTATTTGTTGTTTTTGTCTCTGGTGTTGGGAATTGAACCCAGGGCCTTGCACATGCAAAGCAAGCACTCACAACTGAGCTACATCCCTAGCCCCTAAGAAAGTTTTTAAAATTCTCTGATTAGAAAGGAAGATTTACTAGATAAGTAAAAAACTTAACACCAAAAAAACAAATATTTCAATCAATAAATGGGCGAAAGAACTGAACAGACACTTCACAGAAGAAGAAATACAATTTATCAACAAATATATTTGTTGCAAATCAAATCTACTCTAAGATTTCATCTCACTCCTGTCAGAATGCAATCATCAAGAATACAGGTAACAATAAATGTTGGCAAGGATGTGGTGAAAAAGCTACACTCATACATTGCTCGTGGAACTGCAAATTGGTACATCCACTATGGAAAACAGTATGGAAATTCCTCAGAAAATTGGGAATGGAACCACCATTTGACCCAGCTATCCCATCCTTGGTTTATACCCAAAGGCTTAAAATCAGTATACTATAGTGACACAGCCACATCAATGTTTATAGCAGCTCAATTCACAATAGCTAGACTATGGAACCAACCTAGGTATCCCTCAATAGATAAATGGATAAAGAAAATGTGGTATATATATTCAATGGAATATTACTCAGCTTTAAAGAAGAGTAAAATTACGGAATTTGCCAGTAAATGGTTGAGTTGGAGTATATCATGCTAAGCGAAATAAGCCAATCCCACAAAACGAAAGGCCAAATGTTTTCTCTAATATGTGGATGCTAATTCACAATAAGGCAGGGGCACTAGGGAAGAATCGCATTACCTTAGATTAGGTAGAGGGAAGTGATGGGAGGGAAGGGGAGGGAATATGGGGATAGGAAAGATAGTAGAATGAAATAGACATTATTACTGTATGTATATATGTGACTACGTGACCAATATGATTCTGCAACATGTACACTCAGAAAAATGAGAAATTATATCCCATCTATGTATGATATATTGAAGTGCATAAATACATTCTAATGTCATGTACAACTAATTAAAACAAATTTAAAATTTTTAAATAAATAAATAAAGCAAAGACTACATATTTTTCATGTTGAAAATAATTTTCAATATTTCTAAGTAGAAATTTCTAAATTTGAATACTAATTTTAAATCAGTCATACTGTACTTTGTGTCATTTAAAAGAAATAAATGCAGGGGGCTGGGATTGTGGCTCAGCAGTAGCTTGCTCGCCTAGCTTGGGTGAGGCCCTGGGTTTGATCCTCAGTACCACATTAAAAAAAATAAATTAAATAAAGGTATTGTGTCCAACTACAACTAAAAAATAAATATTTTAAAAACAAAAAGAAAAAAAAGAAAAAAATAAAAACAAAAAGAAAGAAATGCAGTTGTATAAATTAAAGGGCTTGTCTATAAAGAAAAGTTCATTCTTTTTCCCTAAGCCCTTGAGAGGATCTGATGTTATTTCAAGTTACACAGTGCTCCACCTTACCTCTGAATTCTTCCCCTTCACTTTTCCTCGCTGGGCACTCTTCATCTGCTCATGGTACTGCTCTATAAGTAAGGCTGACAGTACATAGAGCTTCTTCACACGTAAAGGTTTACTTCCTTTCTTTGCCTCTTCATTGGCAATCTTTAAACAGAATTTGGGGAAGATACTTCTTAATCTGTATTTGTACAAATACAATCATTTTCAAAATTAACTGAAATTTGACTATCTAAAAAAGGGAAAAGATCAGTAGGATGGAATATAAATACCAAGTATCTGTGTTTGATATTTTAAAAGCCATTTTCCTTTCCTTATTACTAACATAAATACTCAGTTCTTTCCTTAGTATTCAGCCCATGGAGTTAAACCTATTAACAATCTTGAAATATCTGCTGTAAAATAGCTAAGTCAGAACAAAGAAAGTCATGATAGGATGGGTATCTTCCACAATACAGAGGTTTTATAAATAACATTTCAAGTACACAGAGATACAATGGCATTAACATGGTACATCCTTCAGAAGTTTATTTAAATAATTTTGAGGGAAATTTTTCCTTTTTCATTAAATCAAACAGAAAAAAATAGAATATAAATTTTTCAGAAATTAATACTGTTCTAGTTAGTTATATTTCCTCCAAATGGATATTATCAAAAGTGTAACATTTGCAAGGACTCAAAACTCTATTATCAATAGAACTCAATTCCCAATGCGGGGAATGTGTGCTTGGTTGTTCCAGCAAGTTCTTTAAGTCTCTGTTAACTTGAGTAATAAATATATAATTGTTTAGGAATCAATAAGTTGCTAATAGTAATAAACACCCTTGTTAGTAAAAGGTAATAATACCAAAACTACACAATTACCTTAAAATTATTACCTTTTACTTAGTCATAAAACCAGAAGGAGTTTGCTATAACAAACATTTGTTTCCAAAGAAAATGGAAAATGTGTTCAAAACTATACAAAAACAATTATAACCTGGACAAACCAAATACTCACCAAAATTATTACATTACCTTAAACATCAGTTTAGCAGCATCAAAAAAGAAACTGGCTTTCCGATAAAGTTCTATAGCATCAAGAATTTTATTCTTTTCCAGTAAGTGAGATGCATACCTAGCTAATAGAGATCCAATTTCTTTCATATTATGGCTTTTAGCTAATTCAACAGCTTTGTTCCACTAGGAAAAAAATTATATCATTCGGTCACCCAAGTATTTATTTCACATGTCATGAAATTCACACAATAAGAATTTAAGTTTGTAATAACCGAAGATACTTCTTCAAAATAGAAAAAAATGGCATATGGTTTTAAAAATCACTTAAAATCAGAGAAACTATAAGTTCTACAAGCTAAATGTGTCAAAAGGATTAAATGATTTAAGACTAATTTAAGAAGTGCACCTGAAAGAGTTTATGATCACATTAATCTTATAATTCTATTTTTGAACATAATGTGAACCAGAAAAAGATTCATTTTTTATTCTTTATAGTAAAATAAAATATTTAATTTCAGTTAAGAAAATATCATTTCAGATTTAACATTTAAAACATTTTTATACAGTGAATGCAGCTTTATAAAATAAGAAAAATACTAAAAGAACATACTAATAGTCAACAGTTTCTATAATAATTCTGCACTTTCATTTTAATTAAATTTCAGTTCTTAAAAATGTCAAATACATGTTTTCTATAAAGGGAAAGCAAGGGCTGGGGCTGTAGCTCAACAGGAGAACGCTTGCCCTGCATGTATGAAGCCCTGGATTCAATCCTGAGCACCACATAAAAATAAATAAATAAATAAATGTAAAGATATTGTGTCCATCTACAACTAAGAAAACTTTTTAAAAGAAATAAATAAAGGGAAAGGAAAACTGATTTGCTAAAATAAATATTGATAAAGTAACCAGATTCCTTCCTCAGGCAATGACCAACCATTAATTGGTCCTTCTTTGGAAAGAAAACCTAACCCTAAAAAAATGCAGAAAATGGTGAAATTACTTCCAGATAAAAATTTGCCAGACTACAAGCACTGGTTTGTTCATGTTCCCTTATTGAGTTAGAGGGTCAATAATGAGTGGTTACCCTTCAAGGCAGCCCTTCAACAAACTCCAACACTTTCTCCGGCTTCAACTCCAAGGGAGACATATCTGGCCGCCTCCTTTCACAAAATTCCCTTCAAACCCTCCAACCCTCGCACTCGCCATAATCTCTACAGGATCATGACAGTGACTTTAATTTCACTTTAACTTAAAAATTCTTAAGACAACCAGCTGCACAGACATAAGTCTCAGCTCCTTACTTGGTTCAGATGTATGCAGGTATCTATAGCTGCCTTTGGTTGATTACATTTCAAAAACGCAGTCACTGCTTGTTCACACATTCCAACTCTCTGAAACATTTGTGCTATTTCCTGTAAGGACAAAACAGTACTATCAGATTTCACAGATAAAGGAAATCACTTATATTTTAATTTAGCAAAACTGTGCAGGGACATATGAAAATCAAATTGGTAGTTAAAGGAATTTTTCTTTTAAACAGACAGGGGCAGAGGCTACAAATCAGAACAGATGTTAAAGCACCTCCAACAAAACCAATACTTTACTGGTTTAGGCAGGAGATCTTAACCAGTCTCTGAAAACACTGCACTCCTTTCCTCTCTCAGCTCAGTAACTAGTATATAGAAACGTCAAGCTCCAAAACATATCCCACATTAGCAGGTAAAAAGAAGACCTATAAGAGAACTGGTAGTATGTTTGATGGTAATCATTAATTAAAAGCATAAGAAAAACTCTCCCATTCACAGAGCTCTCAAATACCTCTCTAAAGAAATACCCTATGCCAGGCATGCTGGTATACATTTTGGTACATCTATTCATAAAGTCAAGGCTCATGAGGATCACTTGAGCCTAGGAGGGTAAAAGTTCAAGACCAGTTTGGAACTGGAATATCCCCCAAAGACTCATGTGTTGAAGACTTGGTCCCCAGAGCAGCAGTGTTCAGAGATGGGGTTTTAGGAGGCTACTGTACACTGAGAGTGCTAATGTCATCAAAGACTGAATGGACTATGAGCAGGTGAGAGAAAGTGTAAGAGGTGGAACCTAGCTGAAGGAGGTGGGTCACTAGGAGAGTGCCCTAGATGGGTATATCTTGTCCCTGGACCCTTCCTGGCTGTCTCTGATTCCCAGCTGCCATGAAGTAAGCAGCTTTCTTCTGCCAGCCTGATGTTCTGCCTCTCCTCAACCCAGAGCAATGGAACTGAGACCTCTGAAAGTGGGAGTAAAAATCAATCTTTCCTTCTTTAAATTGTTCATGTCAGGTATTTTGGTCACAGCGATGAAAAGCTAACACAACAAGTCTAGGTAACAAAGGGAGACCACCCCACCACCCCACCCCCCAACCCCACCACCACCCCCACCACCTCACCCCCTACCCGCCACCCCGCTATCTCAAAACAAAATGGGAAATGCCCTAGAGAAACATGTCATTCATCAGTTCAAGAAGCTAGACCCAAACCGCTCCTTTGGGAAGCTGTGACAGGCAAGGAGAGCCACCACATCAAATCTGACCTGTTTGGCTATATTCCCCACTTTCAGAAAATAAATTTTTTGTTTGTTTCAGCATTTCTACTTCGCCAAATTGTTTCTCTCTTCACCCCGCCACCCCACTTCCAAAATACTTTTGGAAATATAAAATATATTTTAGGCTGGACACAGTGGTGAATGCCTATAATACCAGTAGCTCGGGAGGCGGAGGCAAGAGGATCACAAGTTCAAAGCCAGCCTCAGCAATTTAGCAAGGCACTAAGCAACTCAATGAGAACCTGTCTCTAAATGAAATACAAAATAGGGCTGGGGATGTGGCTCAGTGGTTGAGTGCCCCTGAGTTCAATCCCCAGTACCTGCCCCCACCCCCGCAAAAATAATAATAATAATAAATTTTAGTAGCAAAAATATTATAAAACATGAAAAAGTAAAGTTACTCATAATCTTATTACTCATAAGTAACCTCATAATAGTCTATGTAATTTCCTAGTATCTTTGTCCTATGAATGTACATGTATGTGTATTTATGTATGTATTGTGACCATACTATATGTAGTTCTGTATCCTGTACTTCCCACTTCAGTATTATGTACATCTTTTCATTCTATTAAAAATTCCTCTAAAACGTGATTTAAAATTTATAGTACAACTTAAAATTCATTATCTTAGTCATTTGGTTACTATTACCATTATAATTATTTAGTATTTTCTTAGTGATATTATTATTCTGGATCCTCTAAAGGAACATTTTTTTTTTTTTTTACTTAATCAGACACACCTCATAGAGAACACTAAGATAGGCACTCCAGGTGTCCATACCCAATATTCCTAGAAATTTTGTTGTCCTTCCTACTCAAGAAAATACTTAAGATTGAAAATAAAGGTAAATGACAATGCCAGTAAGAAAACTGAATTATCACAACTCTATACTTACCTATTAGTTAACAAACAAAATTTTTGAGGTGGAACTCACAACTGATACATGTCCAGACCCCACAGTTTAGAGCTACAACTTCATAGGTATCATACAGCTCAGTGATTTACAAATAAAATACAAACATCTTAACAATATTCAACAATTAATTAAAAGAGGCTTAAAAGGAATATTCAAAATAAAGAGAACTCCACTTTCAGTTTCTCTCTCTTTTTTTTTTTGTACAGGGGATTCAATTCAGGGGCACTCAACCACTGAACCACATCCCCTTCCCTATTTTCTATTTGATTTAGAGACAGGGTCTCACTGAGTTTCTTAGCACCTCACTTTTGCTGAGGTTGGCTTTGAACTCTTGATCCTCCTGCCTCAGCCTCCCAAGCTGCTGGGATTACAGGCGTGCACCACCATGCCAGGCTCAGTTTCTCTTATTTGACATTAAATACTTTATTATTAATGTAACCTAATAAATGCTGAGCTATCTTTTTAAACTTAAGTTGCAGCAAATTTCAAATTATTTTCAACCAAATACCTGACAACAGACATTTCATCTGTTAACAGTTCATGTATTCAGCTAACTTTTTAAAGCAATTTTATAAAACTGAAGAAACTATACAAGACTACGTTAAAGTATTAAGAATATAATTGATTTTCTCCTCTATTTTCAAACATTCTATAATACTGATATATTATTTCCTAATTAAAATAAAAGCACTACTCCATGTCTAAGAAACTATAAAATTATAGATTTTTAGTTTTCTTTATTACAGAGGATATTTCCTGACTATAACATAAAAATTTAATAAAATAACCTAACAACTTCAACAACTAAAATTTGCAATACCTACTGGAAGCAACTTGTGGTTTTCCGGAAGTGAATTGACAAGATTCTCCAATCCCTCATAATCTTCTAACATAAAATAACATTCAGCTAAGCGTTCCTGGTTCCGGCCTTGTACATAATATTGTACAGCATTCAACCTACAAAAAGAAAGAAAGAAAACTTTTTAAACTAATGTGAATCTTAATAAATAAGTCCTTCCACCAAAAATGTTCATTAGATTTACCAGTAGTGGTACTATCTAATTCATCATCTTCATTCACACAATTGCTTTAAAGCATATAAATCAGAGAGGGAAATCTAGAGACTATGTAGCATATTCTAGTTGTAACAGTCTTTGAATACTCTTATGAAATGTTATTTTAATCTAATATACCACTAAAGTATCTCCACTGACATAAAAAAGCACACTGATCAAGATGAAAACTTAAGAATAAAAGCAATGATTCCTGAAAACAATCTATAATAACAAAACAAGCAAATATAAAATACATTTTAACTTTGTTCAAAAATAAATCACATAATATCTTAGAATTACACACCATGATCTCAAACAGTGGAAAAATTCCTGGAGGTAAGTGCAAGTTTTTTGTTTGCTAACTCCAAAGTTTTACAATGCTCATCTCACAACTTCAAGGATCTCTTGCTCTCTAATGTCAATCGAGAGATATCTGAACTTTAAGACTCAGGAGAATGGTCCTCATTTCCCTAGCATTATTTCCAATTCTAGTGGAAATAATGGAAGTCCTCTTACAGTGCCAAAGCTAAGTGTTGTGTGAATGCATGAGGTGCTGCAGATAGGCTACATACCACTTTTGTCGATCAGCAAAGTAGTCTCCAATGGCACTGTGGGCTTGTTCAAGGAGACTGTCATCTGCATCACCAGATCCAGTTTTCAAGAGCTGGAGTACTCTAAACCAATCTCCTAATTTCAGTCGGAGGCCAATAGCGAGATCTCTGCAACCAACGGCATTCAGTCACTCATCCATTCCACAAATATTTATCAAGTGTCTACCTTTTGTTAGGTATACTTCTAGGTACAGAGAATAGGAACAGATAAGGTAACTCTCCAAACACTTTAGAAACAGCCTGACCAGGTAAGAGGCAATGAATGTGTGTCCCCTCCAAAATTCATGTGGAAATATAACCCCCATTGTGGTGTCAATAAGAGATGGAGTCTTGTCTTTTCAGGGCTTAAGTTGTTATTAAGGATCTTCTGGGAAGATAAATAACATTAAGAAAATAGAGACATAATATTTATACCTGAAATTAAGTTTGTACATTATTTTATATGAATAAGAATGAAAATATAATAAAACTCAGTCCATAACACCTTTGATTTTTATTTTATGTTTCCTGACAATGGAAAATTAAATAATGGTCTAAACCAAAAAAAGAGGACCAAAATTATGAGCCGTATGATAAGTGATAAAATCCCCTACTCTGTAGTTCTATCAGTATTTTCCTGCCAAGTGAAAAAGTCTCTATAGTGAATTATTAATAGTAAAAACATAGAAGCAAGCAACCCCCAAATTATAAAAGATAAATTAATGTGTAGAATATCTAGGTTGTATTCTAAACTAAAAATTATTTTTAAAAGAAATGATATGATACATTCACTTTTAAGCTATTATGAACAAAAGTACTTGGTGACACCTGATCCTTTGTCACCTACCTTCTGTCCATATCAAGATACATTCTTTCAGCCTCTTCAAACCTACCAAAGTAGGCCACCACTTCCGCCTGCTTCATTGACTCACTCTGCAGATTTCCCAGGCGCTTCACAAACTTAATGCCTTGGTAATCTTTGCAGCGCACAAATGCTTGCTCTGCAGTGGGCAAATCCAGTTTCTGAAGAGCTGCTTCAGCCAGTAATCGCCTTTATTAAAAAGAAGAAACAGAAAGGCTATTGAAAATTTCTGATAAACAAGCCTTGAACCAGAATTCAATGATTATGCCTATTGTTTCTGGTAAAGCGTGGTGGGAAGTATTTATTTTAGCACATGCAAACATTTTTCTTATAACACTGCTAATACTGAGGACTTCCACATCTAAAATGAATTTCTGTATTTTCAAAAGAAGAGCAAGAAAAGTCTGTTCCCATCAGGAGGGAGCAGGAGATGACAGAGCTGGGACTTTAAAAGCATGCACCTGACATCTTGAGAGGTTTTAGGTTTTTAAAATACCAAAGTCGGGGGTGTGGATTGTCCTCTATGAACTGAGATGCATCTTCAATTCCAACCTTCTCAATTAATGCTCGACTATCTCGAAGAGACCGAATCTCAAAGTTAATTATATAATCCTTGTTTGGATGTTCTGGATTCTAAAAGTAAAAATTAAAACAAAGGATTCAAATAGCTGCTAATAGAACATGTTTCTTTTTTTACAATTAAAACAGACAAAAAAAAAAACCTACATCTTATGGTAAGCAAAATTGGGAAGAAAAGAAATCCCCATTGTTATGGTTTAGTAATGAGGTATCCCCCAAAAGCTCACGTGTGAGACAATGTAAGAAAGCCCAGAGAAGAAATGATTGGGTTATGAGAGCTTTAATCTAATCAATGCATTAATTGCCTGGTAGGGATTAAGTGGTTGGTAACTGCAGGCAGGTAGGGTGTAGCTGGAGGAGGTAGGTCACTGGGGCCATTTCTTTGGGGGACATATTTTGTCCATGGTGATGGGAGTCTCTCTCTGCTTCCCTGTGCTGACCCCAGCTGCTTTCTTCTGCCATACAATTCTACCATGATATTCTACCTCACCTCAAGCCCTGAGGAATGAAGTTGGCTGTCTATGAACTGAGACCTCTGAAAATGAGCCCCAAAATAAACTTTTCCTTCTCTAATTGTCAAGTCTTCTTGTCAGGACTTTTGGTCACAGCAGGAAAAAAGCTGACTAAAATACCCATGTTTGGATATTATGAGTTACTTGGAAAACCCCCAACACACAAGTCAAGTCCTTCCTGAGCAATCAGCTGCCTATGGAAGAAGTGCACAGTGGTGGAAGGGTCCTTCCCAGATCTGCGTCCCTGTTTCTCTCTGCTTAATTTTTTTCCCCAGGTGATTCTTTTTTCCCCTCCAGAATGCTCCCTGCCCTCCACTGGAGCAGAAAACACACATTCAGCAGCCTCCACTCTGTCACTCCTTCAGCAACTCTTTCCCTGCCAGAAGTAATACTTTGTTACAGTACTTTCAGGCAGCCAAGAGATGAAAGAAAAAGGGCCAGTTGTCATCACTGCTTTCCTATCATAGTGAAGCAGTCTGACTAACACCACAAAACAACCGAAGGCCTGCCTTTCAGGAAAGAGCTATCTAATGGCCAAAGACAGGAAAGGCAACTATAATCAACTTACTGATATTACACATCCCAAATAATAGAAGAATGGAGCACACAGGGCAATCAGACCATGAGTGCAAAACAGCAGAGGGTGATCTCAGACAGGAGAGTTCTTTCAAAAGGTAAACAGAGCCATAGGCACCAACCCCCCACCCTGCAACTAAAGCACCATAGCTAAAGCTGCAAAGGCGTCTGGGGAACTCCTGAGCACAAAGGAGGAACTGGTAAGGAAAAGGCAGACGATCTGGATTCAAACAGCTAAGCTCTAATCCAATCCCATCACTCACTGGCCATGTGACAACTCCTTCTACACCTCCCCACACACCAGCCCACCCACCCAGGAAGCCTGGGCCCCTCTTCTCCAAACAGAAACCCAATCGTGTCCCTCCACTACTTCCCCACTGACTCCAGGATAAAGTGTAAACACAAGAACCAGGCTACAGGGTCCCTGAAGACCCACCCCAACCTCGAACTCCCAGCCTCATTTCTGCCAGTGCTACTAACTGTATATGCCAGCTTGGAAGCCACATCACTTGGAACCAAGTTATGTATGCCTCTGCCAATTGCTAACTGAGTGACACTGGTAAATTAGCTTCTCTCTCCAAGCTCCATCTTTTGTCCCCCAAAAAAAGCAGAGAAAATAATCAAATCTGCTTCCTAGAATTGTGAGGATTAAGAGAGAACACTCAAGGAGCTGGGGTTGTGGCTCAGCAGTAGAGCACTCACCTAGCACGTGCGAGGACCTGGGTTCGATCCTCAGCACCACATAAAAATAAATAAAAATAAAGAATATTGTGTCCATAAAAAAATAAATAAATAAAGGTATTGTGCCAACTACAAGTAAAATATAAATAATTTTAAAAAGAGAGAGAGAACACTCAGACCTTGTGCACAAGGCTCAGCCATGCTATTCACATTATTCCCAGTCTGAGAACTGACCCAATATTCTGTACATCAGAGCTTTGAACAGGAACACCCCCTGGCTGAATCAGCACCACCAAACCTCTTCTGGTTGCTGAATTCCTGGTCTATCTCCCCTGGAGCCAGGAACTGTGTTTACTTATGGGCTCTTTATCAATATTTCCCAAATCAATGGATAGATGAACTTTGGATAAGCCATTTTACTCACCAAGAGCCTTCCTCATCCAAAAAAGAGGTATGTGTAATACCTACCAGGCACATTATAATGACAAACGACAAATTTAACACCTCATTTGAAGGTACCATAGTAAACATTAACCCCTTCCTTTTTCTTTAATATTTCCTCTTCTCTCATCCTCCAAAAAACTTCTTTATTATTCTTAAAACTATGCTTGAATGAATCTGTGGTCCAGCTAATCCATAACCCTGGGTGAAAAAGAACCCGGAGAGAAGTATGACCATATTCTTTGGTAAGCTTTGCCTGTAGTAAGCCAAGTAGGTAAGAAACTATCACAGAGAATTTAGTTGTGGTTACAAATTAACTCCCCACCACCCCACCCCTATTCTTCCTCAAAAAACTGGGCACCAACACTGCAGGCAGTCTATCCTAACACTAGTGTATCCACAATCTTGGAGTACACCTAACCAATTGAAATACATATTTTCTGAAACACTTCAGACAATCACTAGATACAGTGATGCATTTTCAAACATTGTATAACTTAATACAATCAGCAACTATGAGCCCTTCTTGAAAAACACTACTAATGATGAAATCCAGCCAACTGAAAGACTAATCAAAATTAAGAACTTATGAATAGAGAAAATGTAGTAAAAAAAAAAAAAGACTAGTACTGTGAATTCATTTAAATATAAGAATCAACAACTGAAAGTTAGGCTTACAAAACAAAATTAAAATGTTCTGAATTTTGACAATGTGAACATAATAATATGGCTAACAAAAAAGGGGAGAAAACAAAAGAAAGTCATCTTTTAAAATGAAAAGTCAATCCATCCTATTAAAAATTAAAACATAGTTTAAACTGATAACTTAGTTTTCCACAAATTTTCTTCTTAAACTTGGGGAAATTATATTGTTTGTAGTGAAAAAAAATTACCTAAAAGGCCAGAATGACTTTATTAACTTTTAGATTACTTAATTAAAATTAAATTCAGCCATGCATGTAGTAAACACCTGTAATCCCAGCGACTCCAGAGGATGAAGCAGAAGGATCTCAACTTCAAACCCAGCATCAGCAACTTAGAGGGGCCCTAAGCAATTTAGCAAGACTCTATCTCAAAATTTAAAAAATAAAAAATGCTGAGGATGTGGCTCAGTGGTTAACACCTCTAGGTTCAATCTCCAGTACCTATCCCCAAAATTAAATTTGACACTAAAATTGTGGATTACATAATGATTTCATTTTTATAAAGTTACTTCTGTTCATCTATCTAACCTATCAAATCTGTCTCTCCACATATGGCTCATAGCTATATGGAATGCTAATGGTAATTATGAAAAAAGCTATCTGGTGGGATTTTAGGTGCTTTTTAAAGTCTTCCTCTTCAGCAATTTTCCATATTGCTTGAATTCTATATAATAATATCCACCACTTATTAGAAAGTGACAAAGTCATTATTCATTTTTTAAAACTCAGTGTAACAAACACTTCCTGAGAACCAAGTATATAGCAGACCCTTGCTGGATGCTGGGCACTCAAGAAGCTTACTGTCAAAGCATTAACACACAAAAACAGGTGAGACACTTCAGCTACCTTAGGTGGACTTTACCCACCTATGTCTCTGTTTTTAAAGGATACAGGCAAAATCGCATCTTCTAAAAAGAGTTCCCCAAACCTAAGTCCTTTGGAAAAGAGGTCAAGACAAACAAAAAGACTATTTCCCAGCACAAGTGAGGAAAGGGGGAATAGATATTCTCTGATGTTACCCACTTGTTTTACTGATTATATACTTTAAATAAGACGAGATCTCTCTCCTTATCTTTGCAGAAGTGCTATCCACACACAAAAGAGCCGGTCAACATGGAAAGCACACAATCCTAGGGTGCAACAGACTCAGACTCCTTCTGATGTTTGACTGCTGGCAGCTTCTTGAGCTTCATCCTTTTCTCCCTCCCCTTCTGCCTCACATGGGCAAGCTGAAACGCACAGGTGCTCCCTCCTTTGGGGCCAGCCAGAGTTTCAAACCATATTAGCCCCTACCCATGGGAATCAAAGCACAATGAACAGAGCAGGGTTGGACCCCAGATCTGTCTGACCTCCGAGTCCCCACTTTATCTGAGATGTCTGACCACCTGTTCAAAGACAAATCCCAGTTAAGCTGGAAAAAGAAATATAACTTTTTTAAAATTACCTTTAATATCTCATCCAACAGGACAGATTTGATTTCTAAATCCTCAAAGTTACAAATATATCCAGAGGTCTGAATGGGTTCCTTTAGAGACAAAAACAAATGTTAATGTTTCATCATGCAAAATGTCTCCTCCCTTAAGGAATCTGATTTTAAACTTTATCATCAAAACATTCAAACCAACAAAAAAGTAGAGAGAATACCATTACCACCATATATCCATCACTTAAATAATTACTAACATTTTGCTAAATATACTTTGTTTAATCTTTTGGCAGAAGTATTGTAAAGTAAATTACAGATATCATGACATTTCACCCCTAAACACCCCTAAGTACATTTCTCTACAAGATGAGGACATTTAATTCTTAGTAAAACCAATAAATACTACATTTGTATCATAGTACATCCATGATAATAATACCATAACATACTGAAAAGTCTATCTTCTGTAACGTAAGTCAGAGAATGTTCCTGACATATCTCCTACACAAGATTTTATTTGCAAATACATCTGTTATATGTCTATCTCTACCCTAATATTATGCAGGCTTTTGAAAGAAAGTATAAGAAATGCATACTATAATGTAAAGTAGCTGCCCTAAATCCTTAGTAGAAAAAAATAGGTATCAATAACAAAATAAATAAACTGCTAATATACTTAATACCTTTATGAATAATATAAAAGAAATAGGATATGTTATAAATAATAGGAGATGTAAATAATATCAAAATATAATTTTTAAGAATATATCTGCAGGTATATAACATATAATTATACTATACAATACAATAATATGAAACTAAGAAGTAAAAATGGATTCACATTTAGTTTAGTATATCTAAGTTTAAGAATGAGGTTGTTGTATGCACAGTAGATGTGCCCAATCAACCAATTATCTTTTATTTTCCAAAATTCATTATTCATTCATTTATACCTCAATTGATTATAAAGCTTCAGATCAATGGTCTATAAAGCTAAGCAGTATCAAGATATTTCTATTTATAAAAATATTGAAAAGAGGGCTGGGGTTGTGGCTCAGTGGCAGAGCACTTGCCACGCACATATGAGGCGCTAGGTTCAATCCTCAGCACCACATAAAAATAAAAAAAATAAAGATAAAGAAATTAAAATATATATATCAAAAAGACACTATCTAAAGTTTTCCATGCTGTTCCAAGAAACCTGCTTCCCTTACCCAGCACCAACTCAGAAGGTCTCACAACTCATGTAATACCACAGGCATTCTCTACTTTTCAATCTTGCACATTATAACATACTGGAGTTTGGATATACCTAATTAAGTGGCTTGAGGTATTATACAGTCCACTTTTAGCTACCCCTCACAGATTGGACGAGTATAATAAGAGTTTCTTGACAAAAATTTGTGAACTCAAGGTAATATTGGTAATGCAAGAGCAAGCAAATGGAAAGGCAGAACTGACTGCTCTGGCAGGCCCAGTACAAGCCTTAAGTCAGCCACACTACAGTGTGAAAACAGGGACATTCTCTCCTATCCTCACAGGGACAAAAATACATTTGGTTATTAACTGTTAAACAATAGCTCATCTCCTGAATGATAATACCAACTACTATGTCCTGAAGTTATATACTCTTCTGTAGTTCTGCAGATCTGTTAAATTCTTTCCTGGACTGGGACTGTGGCTTAGTGGTAGAGCACTTACCTGACATGCACAAGGCCCTGGTCAATCCCCAGGACACCATGAACATACATACACACACACACACAAAAAAAAATCTGTTTTGAGAAGTATGTTTTTACATGATCAATAAGCATCTAGAGGATGATTACTTATAACTGAACAAGCAGGGACCAGAACAAGCCAGTGTCTTCATGAAAGAACAGAAGCACAGAACAGCATGGTTTATTTAAAAAAAAAAAAAAAAAATCTAGACAGAGAAGGTTGTTCAAAAAAAATTCACCTAGCTTTAAATCTAATAGAAATTGAACTTCATGCCAAACCCCAAAATAAACTCAAATAACGAAAATAATATTTTTTAAAAAATAAAGGCTGTTCTGTTAGAACTACTTAAGAAACACTTTCCACCAGGCAAAAATTTCACTTGGTGCTAGATTGGCCACATGTGCTCCACACATTAAGAGCAGCCAGCCATAACAAACACTCACTTCTCCAGGCATATGATTTCCAGCTTAATGTGAGTGGATCCAAGAATAGAAAAAAGGACTCTAACATTCAAAAAGTATTCTACTCCCATCTTCAAGGTTATCCTGTGGTTATCTGTCAAATTTCTATAATTGTTTTGTGGCAAGGGTCAAATGCCCCTTAAGTCCTGGGAAAAAAACCATGCTTGCAGGTCAAATGTGGCAGTCCCAAATGTCTCTCCTTTGAACAATTTCTCAGGGTCTAAGAATTACAAAGGCCCTCAGACTTCTTAAAGCTTTAACAGAGCCTTTTATATCAGGTTATTTGCCAAAGATCCTGAGTAGGGCTAAATGGGGAAATGTAAAAATAATTTAGGATATTAAAGGGCCCAAAAGCTTAACCACTAAACAAATCTCCACACAAAATCTTTGGCAGCTCAAGGGCCAAACATACAATTTCTTCCAAAGGAAGCTATCAATGCAAACAGAAATGAACAACACAAAGCATTTATTAACTTGCTCCTCTTATTATTTCCCCCAGTGAAGTACAACAGAAAATTCCAAATTGAAAATCATTACTAATTTAAATGTTGTTTAAAAGATTTATCTTCTTGATTAGGCCAGAAGTGGAAAATCAAAACATAAACTTAAAAATCAGAGAAAAGGAGGGCTGGGGATGTGGCTCAAGCGGTAGCGCGCTCGCCTGGCATGTGTGCGGCCCGGGTTCGATCCTCAGCACCACATAAAAAAAAAAATCAGAGAAAAGGGCTTCCTGATACCAGGAAAGAAAAGAGAATCAGAATCCACCTAGCATATTTGCAAGAATATCTGGGTTAAGAAAGAGCCTGGATTAATGGGTGACATGGTGAATGTATAAGAAAGACAAGGTCCCTGTGAAACTAGACTCACAGAGAAGACAATGAAAGAACAAGGCAACTTTAAAGCTATATTTTTTGGGTTAGGTTTTTAAAAGAAATTTTAGCAAATAAGGCTATTGATTTTCTTTTTTCTTTTCCTCTTTGAATTTTGATTAAGAAAAAGACCATCTAGTGACCATAATTCTGTCTTTTAAGAAAAGAACAGATGTGCCTCGGTGGTAGAGTGCCCCCGAGTTCAATCCCCCAGTACAAAAAAAAAGAACAGATAAATGCTTAGGCAGTATCTTTCAGAGAAAGGGGAAGAGGAGAACATCTAAAAGATGAGTATTATTCCCACTTCAGATCAAATATTTTTAACCTCCACAAAAATGTGTTTACTTTCACAAATTTACATAGCCAACACCAATGAACCTCTGAAAGAAACAAAGGAGAAATATCCAGATTTTGATCTTTGGCTCATTATTTCTGGACTGTTAGCACTTGTTTCTTGTTTTTACCTCAGGATCCAAGTTTCTGAAAACATACATTCTTGTCTTCTCCATCATTGCAAACAAATCAGGATTATCCTTGGCCCACTTCATATCCCAGACATCTTTCCTCTCCAATTTTAACAGCTCGCCGACTACTTGCTGTCCTGTACTGTCTGTTACCCGAGTGTCCAAGTCAAAGAACACTAGAACTCCTGAGATGTCTATGATAGCAAGACGACTACAAAGGATGCCATCAGGGAAAGAGAAACAAATGTGAAATTACCATCTTGAATATAACAACCTACAACCATTCTTCAAAATCAGTTTATCAAAAACCTGAAACATGGGGCTAGGGTTGTGGCTGGGGCTGGGGTTGTGGCTCAGTGGTAGAGCGTTTGCCTGGCATGTGTGAGGCCCTGGGTTCAATCCTCAGCACCGCATATAAATAAATAAAAGATCCAATGACAACTAAAAAAAATATATCTATATATTTTTTAAAAACCTGAATCATGGTAAAAATGGCTTTAAATTTTTTTTATAAATTTGACTGGAGATATAGACTATTTTCTCCATTTTGCTTCCTTGTAAGGAAAATATATCCAGAGAGATTAAACCAACTGATAGGAAAATATAAAATACTCTCAAAACACTAAAGCTTTAAGAATAAAGGATTTCCATATATATCTAATAAAAAGCATTTAAACCAAAAACTATATAGTTTACAAGTTCATAACAAACACACTTGTCTTCACATTTATTACATAAACCCAACAATCCCAACTGATAACTTCTAACACCCCAGAAGGAGAGTTTTTATACTTACCTAGAGTTGCAATTTAAGGATAACTGGTAGGCTCGACAATTAAGGGAATATTTTTGAATCAAACCAACATTAGGAAGACTGTATCTCTGAATGGTGCCAGACTCACGACCCTATAGGAATTAGTTGTGATTACTAAAACATTTACCATAACAATATCAAACTACAACTGCAGATTTCTCTATACATCTACACGTGTGTTTTAAAACCAAAATGATATTGTCCTGCAAGTTTCCAATTCTGATACTGAATTATATCATTAAGTATATACTTATCTCCTAATTTAATTTAAACCTTTTTAAAGTGGCTAACGATGAAATGATTTTTTTTCACATAATGTTCAAGAAAGAAGTCAAAAACCTAGTTCTTTAGTAATATGTAAATTCTTCCATCACAAGGAAGAAATATCTACAGTTGTTTCTAGTTGCTATCTACGTTAATGTTCAAGATACATTAAGAGCTAAAGCATAAAGCGCTTGCTGATTTAAATTTCATATGAATGAAAAATCAATAAAAGATCACGGTATGAAACAGCTGTTTGCAAGTCTTGGATTTTTATCCTATAGCCACTTTCCTAACTCTAGTTTTGGTAAGGGAAAAAAAAATGACCTGAAAATAGTTATAATCTTGAATATTTGTTTAAATATGTTTTTAAAAATAAAACTAAATATACATTTCTATGTAATTCTGGGAAAACATCAAGACTGACAGATTGGCAGCAAGTATATCAGACAGGAGAGTGCTACGGTTTTCAAGCCCTGGCCAAAAGAAAGAGTGGAAGGTCCACACAGCCAGTCTTGACCTCTTTCCTCTAAACCAAGAGGAGCCTGTCAAAAAGGTGGGGATACTATAGAATACAGGGCACTTTGGAGTTTTTTCCCCCATAAAATTAGCTAACAGCTAACAAATGTTAGTAAAACTGGAAATATATACTACTTAGTCTGTTTCTGTAATTCCAATGCAACTCCACCAGTATTACTATATTAAAGTAAGCACTTATTTCTAAAATTAATATTTTCAAATGTCAGAGCTCAGGAAAAAACACTATACCATTGATTCTATTTGCAAAGTTCAACAGACATTTGCCGGCAACCTCTCTACTTTACTGGCTGGCAAACACCACCTCTTCATTCTAAGTTGTATGAAAGTAGCTGAGCCAAAGCATTTTCTTCAATATAAAATAGCAGACGACAGAGAAAACTTTCTAAATCCCATTACCACCAAGCAATTGATCGCACATCTTTCAACCCTTTATAGGGCTCCTTCAACCTGGTGTCAAACTCTAAATGTACTTTATCTTCTCAGATAGCCATCATTTTACTGCCTTTATAAACAGCATTTTTTGTACATGATTAATTTGTGAGGTTAGCTAGAAAACATTCTCCTTTCTTACATTAGACTCAGTAAAACATGGGGTACTCACAAGATGCTATTCATATCCAAAAATCATTGCTTTAACTTACTTTTAAAATTTAAACAATCATTACTTATAAAATAAGTTTTTTCCAACTTACCACAATGAGTGTCTTATCAGATGCAGTTATGGCACAAATTGGATCTCTTGTGCCCTAAAACAAATAACCAATTATTATTATTCAATAAATACCTATTGCATGCTTAATCTGTAAAAGATAAATGCAATTCACTAAGAAGAATATGGCAGGTTGGGGGTACAGCTCATCAGTAGAGTGTATGCATATCATGAGGGAGGCCTGGGGTTCAATCCCCAGGATCAAAAAACAAAAGAAGGAGAAAGAGGACAAAGAAGAAGAAAAGAATATTGTACATAAAGTATTTATTAACTTAAAAAGAAATTTACTTACTGAGCACTTATTATGTGCCAACCACATACTCAAATTAAATCTTTACTCTCAGGTGTAACTCAAAAGTGTACTGGGAGAGATGCTGAACTGAACACTTAATTGTAGACAGCATGATAGAAAAAGAGGCACAGACAGGGGTTATGAGAGCAGAGAGGGAGAAGCATCTAACCTACAGCAAGATGGGTGAAAGTCTAGCTCTAAAAGATGAACCAACAACAGCAGGGCTAGCACATGCCAGGAGGAAAAGTCAAATGGCATGGCACTGCAGCCACCTCCAGGGCATCATGTCTGGGGGGGAAGCCCATCTCAACAGGTTACACACTGTGTGATTCCATTCACAAAACAGCCTCAAACTGATAAAATTATACAGGTGGAAAACAGATCAGTGGTTGCCAGGCAACATGGATGGGCTGGTGAGTAGATGAAAACATGCATAAGTAGCACTGAAAGGAGTATTTTTCTGATAATAAAATTCCATACACACAACTGTATGTAAACACTGGTGGAAACTGAATTAGGAATAAGGCCCCAGTCTAGCAATAGTATTGGATCAATGTAAATTTCCTAGTTTGGATGTCATTTTACAATTACATAAGATGTCACCATTGTAGGAAGTAGAGTAATGGGACTATTTCTTCAACTTCCTGGGAGCCTACAATCATTTCAAAATATTTTTTTTTAATAAATCTAAAGAAAACATCAGCCCGGCATAGTCAGGAAACTGCAAGTTATTTAGCACAGCTGAGGAATGTGCAGGAGAAAAAGTGGATAGGAAGGGACAATGTGAGGGAGGGGAGAAGTTGGGGGTATCTATACTTTATTCCTAAAAATATAATAATCTGCTGAAGGTTAATATTTGGTGAGCAGGGGAAGGCAGCTGCGGTGCTGTCTTGCTCCACCATGCCCCACCCAGGTTTACATTTTATACAGCACACTGGCCAGCAATATGACAAATGGGTTGGCGCTGGGAGGATGTGGAAGCCTGAAAGTAAGAGGCTACGCTGTGCCATTAGACATCATAGCCACCCACCATATGTCACCATTTAAATGTAAAGTTTCATTAATTAAAGTGAAATACAATTTTGGACTCAGTTCCTCAGCAGAACTAGCCATATTTTAAGTGCTCAGCAGCTATATATGGCTAGTGGTTACTGCACTGAGCAAAGATAAAATATTCCCATTGTCACAGAAAGTTCTCTTGGGTGATAGTGAATGGAAATTTACTGCAGTGATCTAGACGGGAACTAATGATACTGAACTAATATAGAGATGGGACGCAAATTTGAGAGAAATCGGGGACTTGGCAATTTATTAGACACAAAGAGCAAGAGAAAAGGAGTTCTCATGATTTTTGCACAGATGGCAGAACCAGTCACTGACATGTATATGCATATGGAGGAATGGATTTGGAGGCAAGATGAATCATACTCAGGTTAAATTTGGGGTGCTTTCAAGCCATCCAATTTATTATACCCAAACAGCAAGAAATATATTATTATAAACTAGAAACATTAGAAAGATATTACAGTCATCCACATATAGATAAAGGGTGGGTTTCCAAAAGAACACTGAGAAGAGAGTATTAAGAGATGGTCTAGGTCCGGACATGAGGGGACACCACAGTAACAGAGGGAAAAAAAGACAAGGAAAAGACAGGTACAAAATCAAGAGTGTGGTTCCATGAAAGCCAAGCAGAAAAGAATGATCAAACATATTAAATGTCACATACAGATCAAAGAATATAAAAAAATTCCTATCAGAGTTGGCGATTCAGAGGCCTCTAGAAATCAAATGGCAATGAAGTGAAAATGGAATGTATAAGGCAAAGAAAATGAATGTAAAATATTCTTTCAAGAAGTTTAGCTCTAAAGGGATAAAGAGATAAGGCAGTAGTTAGAAGAATCCATATGGCTGACAGTGGAACTTGTTTTTAAGATGGGAGAGATTTCAGTCTACTTTATGTGAGAGTAGGGGAAAGAACTGCTTGATGATGAATCGATTTGGAATTTCCCAAAAGTTTCCTAATGGAAGGGAGGGACTGTTTCTTATTCACCAGAAGATTCCAGCATCCAATGTATGATACATAATAGACACTCAGTGAATACCTGTTGAATAAATGGATGGACACTGTAGATGACCAGAGGGACTCCTGCATATTCTAGTGAACAGATCTAGATCTGCTGTCAAAAGATCTAAATTTGAATCCTCACTTTGCTACTCTCAGTTTTCTTCTCTATAAGATAGAGAGGAGACTCCATACTATCTGGTTAGATGCATCAGATAAGAAAATAGATAAGAAAGAGCTTTAAATACTCTTAGAAAAATCTTACCAAAAACAAAATTGCTTACTAAAATATTAAATTATATTAGCTTATAAACAAAAGTATACTTCCACAAAGATAGAATGAACTATGCTACCTACAAAAATTGGTATACTCACGAATATGCCAGAGATGACAAGCCAATCTATGGTCAGTAGACCAAGTGATAGATCACAGACAATAAGATAGACAGAAGCTGAGAGAGGAGGGCAAGAAAGTGAGGAGAAAGTATGTTCCCCAATGCTTTTAGATAATTAGTTTTTCTATTATCCTATTAGCTACTTATCACCACTTTCATTTTCATTGAAGAGTTTTTTAAGATTTAAAAAAAAGTTTTTCAGAATAGAAAAAAAATTAAAATAACATCCCATTCACTGGAAATGAATTCTTTTTTCAGTTCTCCAAATAAAATTACAATATTTCCAAATCTACAAATATAAATCTTTTCTGGGAAAAATAAAATCACCTACTTGAATGGCTTTGCTATAATCAAGGACCCCATCCACTGATCCAGAAGGAGTATCATCAACATGATAAATTCTGTTAAAAAATTAGAATTCCAAAGAAAATTTAATAAAGGTTATATTATTTCATAATCTTTATAACAATGAAAGGATTGGGTGACACTACTGAATATTGTTACTTAATAAAAATCCTGATTATTTTAAATAATTCTTGATATAGCTTAGTTTCATAAGGTATCTACCAGATATTTACAGTTAAGTAAGCTGCTTCTGATAGCTGTGCCCCAAATATATCTGACCATTCAATTACATATTCCCATTGAATTTCATCAAGCTCTGAGGAAGAGGTTACCTTACTCTGTCAGGATTAACTCCTACTCCATGAACTTTCTCTGTTGTTTCTCCATAATTTCCCTTATGTCAGTATGTTTAATAAAAATAAAGCTTAAATGGACTTGAGAAGCACTAATTAAAGAAGATACGCCCCTTGTGGACCCCTGCCATCTCCCTGGCACCATATTACAATACTTTTTCAAATTGCAGTGGAGCGTCATTGCTGGTTTACTCGTCCACTGACTCCCACTAGGTGGTGAGATTCCTGGAGGCAAAGACTCTCCAGTCCCCAGCACAGTGCCACACACTCTCAAGTGCCATAATATCTGCTGAATAATTATTAAAATGAATAAAAAAATTTAAAGAATTACTAAAATACTATCCTTGCTCCAAGGCCTTGGGCAAATTACTTCACTTCCCTGAGCCTCAATTTCTCTCTCTGTAAAACAACAGTAAAGATCCTCCTCTAGCGTTTCTGGAGGCAAAAATAAAGTGATGTTTATAAAGCACATAATAAATAGAGCCTAACACAAACAGGGGCTCAGAAATTGCAGCTATAGTATAATCACAGAAAAACCGTGCCATTTTCTATTTTTAAAATACCATAAAATTTTATAATTATTCTGAAATCATGATTGTACATCATCAACATAATAAGTACATAGAATTTTAAAGAAATTTAATAGACAACTACTAAAATATAGAAACAGGGTATGTCTAAATCGGTACATGTTTCTGCATTTTAACACATTTCTATTAAACATATCTAGGCTTACACAATTATTACAAAAGAAGTCAAAGATTAGAACAGCAGTTCCCTCAAGAGATCATGTAACCCAGTGCCTTCTCTTAAAACCAGAAAGACACAAGAAAGGTCAGTCCCAGGAAAAGGGTTCCAAGTCAGATTAACTACATCTACACTTAGCACCTGATGACCTTTGGCAAACAACTGAAGCTCAGTGTCTCAGTTTCCTCTATGAAACAGGAATAATACAAATACCTATTAGATTTACGAAAGGATCTGGCACATAAGAAGTGTTCAATAAATGTTGGCTATTACCACTACCATCAACATATTTTACAGATGAGGAAACTGAGATCCGAGGAGAACCAGCTCCAAATACCAGTAAACACATCCCAGATAGGAAGATAAGGAAGTGCTGTCTTCTTGATTGAAACAGAAACTAGAATTCCTACAACTGGCTAACAGAGGACAATGGCTACACAGAGATGCTGGGTCTTTCCCTCCCACCCTATGCAACTATGTCCAAAGATCCAGCTTCTCTACAGAGACTGAAGGTCTCTGCTTATCATCACTACTACAGGAAATCCTCCAGAGGACTACTGAACTACCCTCAAGGAAGCCAAAGACCCTCTCCAGCTAACCTTGTAGCACTGCTGATATTTACTTTTCAACAGTTTCTGCTTCCACATAATTCGCAAGTCCCAAATACTTTTACTGGGGACAAACCTCCTATTTTGTAATTGAGTAAGTCATGAAGGGACAGGAAAGTTGTATTAAGATATCAAGTGTATATGAGGGCAGAAGATGGTTTGAAAAAGCAGCCTGGGATTTCTGAGCTGACTTCTGCAACCCAGTCCCACCAACACATGCCTGTACCCTCATTCAGAGCTGTCAGGTTAACACACATGACAAAATGCTTTATTTAAAGACTTAAGGTAACAACCATAGAACAGCAAACAGAGACAAAATAACTTAGAAAACGCTGTAAATGCATCTTCACCTAGACTTACTATAAGAAGTCCCTCCTGCAGGCTCCTCACGTGGAACAGCTTACCCCCACTTATCACAGCCATTCCAACTCCAGACTCCCTGGAATCCAGAGCAAGGGAAAGAAGCCAAGTCCCCAGTGTACCACACTCAACCCCTCTTCCATACCTGTGCCTCAGGACCGGCCTGTCCTCTGTACCACTAACTCAAAAGAATGAAGCTTCAGATAGATCCTTGGACTACAAATTAATAATCATATTTCAGTAAACATAATAACCCTAGTATCTTGGGGGTAGGTGAGTGAAGACAGCAATTTCATTACAAAAAACAAAGGTCTCTAGCCTTTATCTCCAAGGATTTTCTTTTATTACACCATACTATCTCTCTTTTATTTTGAGAAATTTGAAATGGATCAATCTGAAAAATATTCGTATTAATGGAAAATATTTTGTACTAATCAAGGCAACTGGCATTTTCTCAAGCATGAAAATTTATAATTACTATATCTGGTTTTAATGTGATATGGTTAAACTATTAAAATATGTATCAAAAAAGATACCTTTCTCTTCCTTCTTTCCGGGATCGCGTTATCTGATTAATTTCCAGTGCTGTGAGCTTCTTTGCCACACGATATTGCCAAATATAAAATGCTTCTTTCGAAGCTGCTATCACGTGAGTTTTGGTCATTGCAACAAATAAGGGCACTGTCAAAAAGAACATTAAGACAATTAAGTAATGGTTACACAGAATCACAGAATGTCCTCCTGAATGTAACTTCAGGAATCACAGAGTCCAACTCCTCATTTTATAGACAATATACTTGCAGTTTCAAAATACCCACACACAGTCTCTCAAATCAGAAAATAATCTAAAGCTCATACGACCATACCACACAAAAAGAATGGATCCAAGCACCCCAAAAATGCTTCTTTTTTAATTTTTATTTTTTTAGTCATACATGACAATAGAATGCATTTTGATATATAATACATACATGGAATGTACATACTTCAATCATATTGTCTATTCTATTCTGCTGCCCTTCCTATCCTCCCTACTCCTCCCCTCCTCTCCCATCCTTTCTCTCTATTCAATCTAATGTGACACACTCTTTTTTTTTCTTTTTCTCATTACAACATCATATATGTATTCTGTATAACAATGAGGTTTTCCTCCCATCTTCTGTGCAACTCCCCTTCTCCCTCTTTTTCCCTCCCACCTCTCTTCCCTATTTAGTGGTAGTCTTCTTCTCATGCTCTTCCTTCCTATCCCACCCAAAAATGCTTCTTTTGAAGCTGCTGTCACATAGGTTTTGGTCACTGCAACAAATAATGGTACTACTGAAAAGAACATCAAGACAATTAAATTAAGGAATGAATCAAAGGCCTAAATACAAGAGCAAAAACTATAACACTTAAAAGAAAATGTAGGAGTAAATCTTTGTGACCTTGAGGTAAGCAATGGTTGGTATCTTAGATATAACACCAGAGTACAAGCAACAAAAGAAAAAGTAGATAAATTGGACTTCATCAAAATCAAAAACATTTGTAATTCAAAAAATACCATTAAGAAAGTGAAAAAGTCCACAGAATGTGAGAAAATATTTAATCACATATTTAATAAGGAATTCTATCTAGAATATATCAAGAACACATAAAATTCAATAATAAAAGATGAATAACCCAATTTAAAAGCAATCAAAAAATCTGAATAGACAGTTATCCAATGAAGATTTTTTTAATGGCCATTAAGAAAATGAAAAGATGGTCAACATCTTAGGCATCAGAGAGATGCAAATGAAACCATAATGAGATATAATTTCACACCTACTATGGAGCTAGAATCAAAAAGATGATAATAAGTGTTGACAAGAATGTACAGAAATGGTAGAAATGTAAAATACACTTTGAAAAACGGTTTGTCAGTTCCTCAAGATGTTAAATACAGAGTTACTATATGCCCTAGCAAGTATTCTCTTAGATTATACCCAAGACAGATTAAAACATATGTCCACACAAAAAGCCATACTCAAATGATCATAACAGCATTATTCATAATAGTCAAAAGGTAGAACCAACCCAGATGCCCATCAACTGACGGATGAATAAATAAAATCCAACCTCTGCTTTCTCTCCCTACAACCAGTCATGACTTGGTTCCGAATTTATCCTTTCTCATGACCTCATATGTGTTAAATCCCCATTGTAACTTAGAAAAGAAAATTATCCCAAGTTCCTTCCTAATTTAGAAATATAGGGCTGGGGATGTGGCTCAAGCGGTAGCGCGCTCGCCTGGCATGCGTGCGGCCGGGGTTCGATCCTCAGCACCACATACAAAGAAAGATGTTGTGTCCGCCGAAAAACTGAAAAATAAATATTAAAAATTTTTTTTTCTCTCTCTCTATTTAAAAAAATTATTAAAAAATTATAGAAATATAGTTTTCTAAACAAATAACTTTTTCATCTGTTTTATCTCTTAAAAAAAATGTTCAATCTCCTACTGTGGACCCTTTTATGAAGTATACAAGCTAATCAAATCCTATTATAGATTTGAATTTTGAATATAGAATTTTTATACTAAACAAGTCAGTAAAATTAAGTCATATTTTAAAATGTTATTTTCATAACTGTCAAGATTTTTCTGTTTAAAATATGTACTATTAACAACCACTAGAGGGCATTCCAAGCCTCTCCTGGGTGGGGAACAAAAGGTAGACTGAAAAATGGCAACTGGGCCTCCAGGGGGCGTTCAGGGCAGGCCAGGCTCTCTCCTTCACTTTGCCTTATTAAATTCTAAAACATTTACTAAATATTTAGTAAATTCTGCCATGAATATGCGAATACTGGTAACCCTTATGCCCTTAGAGTAAAGTCCACAAACCTTTACTACTTTCTAATATAAATTTTCCTAAGCACATAAAAACATTTTTCCAACCAACGTTTTAACATAATTATAAATTATACTCAAGTTATTTCTTTTTGTTAGCCTGACTGATTCAAAATTAGGATATCAGTGGTTCCAGGTAAGAGTCAAATTTCTTGGATTCAAATCACAGGCACTTGCTAACTGTGGCACTGGATAAAGTATTTCTTCTCTCAAAACCTCAGATTATTTATAGTAAATTAAAGATAATAATAATGCCAATCCTATTTATAAAAGAGAAATTAACTATAAAGCATAGCACAGTGCCTGGAATAGAGTAAATACTTAATAATTTTAAAGCCAATATTTATAGATTTTTAAAAATATATGCCAGGCCCTCTTCACACATTACAAATATTAACTCACAATCACCCTTTAAGGTAGCCATTATTATCTCCATTTAGCATATGAAGAAACTGAGGCATGAAACAGTTATAATTTGCCTATGACATATGCTAGAAAGTGGTAGAGTTGGACATGAACCCAGTCAATCTGACACCAGGTTTCATGCTCATAATCACTCCTCAGTAAGGATTAGGAAGTATTAGGCACGGATGCTATTCTCATTCTCATTTTTACTATCTAGATAGGTTTTTAAAATACAACCATATAGGGCTGGGGTTGTGTCTCAGTGGTAAGCGTTCGCCTCGCATGTGCAAACATAAAAATAAAGGTATTGTTTCCAACTACAACTAAAATATATATATATATATATATATATATATATATATATATATATATATATATATATATATAAACATATACAAATTCTCTAGTCAATACAAAATTAAACACAAATATATTGGAAATGTGTTCTTTTGAGTCAATATAGTAGTGATTTCAGTAAATTTATATGAGTAGGAATGCCATCAATATAAATTTTGATACATCTTTATTTAAAAAATTCACTTCATCCAGATTAAGCTTCTAGGAAAAACAAGGCCAAATTTCAAGGGATCAAATGTTTTAGAAAAAGAACATTTTTCTGGACAAAAACACCTCATGCCCTCCTGAACTATTTAATACTTGGAAAGAAAAAATTCAAAACACCTAGAAAGATTATTGAAAAAAATTTTATGAAAATAATTGTGCTTCCATTAATTGCACTTTGTAACACTAAAAGCAGTCATTTCTAGTCAAGCCAGGATGTAAAATTTAAAACAATTTAGGAATTCACATATAAGTAAAACCTGCTTGTAATATTTTCATGCTGAGCCCTGAAATAAATGCCTGCATTTGTAACAGTCCCTCCCCCACTTTCCTACTCATTCATTTCTTAGTCTTTTAAAAGAAGCTGGTAAACTGAAATTGCGCTGAAGAGTTTTCATCAAATTAACTTTCTCTGGAATACATGGAAAACACAGTGCATGTGTTAGAGACAACAATTAGAAACCTGCTGTGCTCCACCAAAATGGCTGCAACACGGGCAACCTGGCAGTCTCTGGCCACTTTGCATGACTCCATGCCTCTGCAAATGCTATCTTCTCTCTTTAAAATATCAACTGAAGAAATACTTATCCCTCAAAACTCAGCTCAAATGCAACCTTTTCTACATAGAAAAGATGACTCTGAGGCCCTTATGCCCCAAGATTCATTTATCCAAATCTTTCATGATACCTGGCCCACAGCAGGGGAGCAGTAAGTCATTTTTCAATGGACTGATTCAATCTTAATAACTTGTTATAGACATCATGTAAGAAGTGTCATAATTAGCCAGGCGCAGTGGCACACGCCTGTAATCCCAGCAGCTTGGGAGGCTGAGGCAGGAGGATCACAAGTTCAAAGCCAGCCTCAACAATGGCAAGATGCTAAGCAACTCAGTGAGATCCTGTCTCTAAATAAAATACAAAATAGGGCTGGGGATGTGGCTCAGTGGTCAAGAGCCTCTGAGCTCAATCTCTACTATCCCCACCCCCCAAAAAAAAAGAAATGTCATAATTAATTTCTCATTATTCCCAGTTATCACTGAAGTATCCAAAACAATATATACTTATTAATGATTTGCTTTACTCTGTATTTACATGACAGAAAATATCTTCCACATGTTCAATAAACATTTACTATAGGCCAAGCACAGTGTTATGTACTGGGGATACAAAAGTTAACTAGAAAAAAGATTTTTAAGAAGTTCAGAATCTAAAGGAGAAAACAGGCAAGAAGATCAATAACTGCAGCACAAACAAAGAAGCACTTTGGGGAATGGGGTTGTGGCTCAGAGGTAGAGCACTTGCCTAGTATGCGTGAGGCTCTGGGTTCAATCCTAAGCACTACATAAAAATAAAATAAAGGTATTGTGTTCACCTACAACTAAAGAATAAATATAAAAGAAAAGAAGTACTTTGAATAAAAGTACACCACAGATATCATAATGACCCCATGGAAGAGCACCAAAAGAGGGTGCCCTAACCCTAACATATAGAGTACGACAGAGCTCCACAAACCATACTCCCAAATAATGTGTAAAATCCTTTTTTAAAGGTTTCCATAGAGACTGTTAAGAGCAAGAGTACACAGCAGAACAAGAACAATATGTTTCAGAATAGAACCAGTCACATGTGTTTTTTGTCATTTTAGTCTCCAGTCCTTGTGAAAATTTGGCATAGAAACTTTATAAAGAAATTTTACAGGATATGCATGAAAAAAAAAGTTGAGACTTTGGCTGTGTTTGCTATAGTGCAATGAAAGAACTGTTTGTTAAAATGTCAGTCTGCAAGACTGCAAAAAAACGTTTTGAGACTCAAAAATACGAATAATCGTGCCCTCGAGTATTTGCCATTTTATGAAAGGGAAGGATTTGCATTTATCTTTATTTCACAAACAGTCTAACCTGGTGCAGTCGTGCATGCCTATATAATCCCAGCTACTTGGGAGGCTGAGGCAGGAGGATAGCAAATTCAAGACCTACGTGGGCAACTTAGCAAAATACTTGATCAAAAATGAAAAGTGAAAAAGGCTGAGGATGTAGCCCAGTCATAGAGCACCTCTAGGTTCTATCAGAAACAAAAGAAGAAAAGTCAGCCTGAGACAAAAATTACTTAGAGGCTAACCCTATCATCATATGAGTCTATGTTAAAACTTTAGATCTTAAAAGAAAAAGAATATAATCTGAAGATTGATAGAATTTACCCCTTAAAAACTGTTATGCTTCCAATAAATAAGATATTTGTGACAAGAGTCAGTAATACTCTTAAGTCTTTCAACAAGGAACACTAACATATGTATACATACATATGAACATACCTATATAACAATGGACATAGATAGGCAGTTGAAATATTTCAATATATCAAGGTGAATGAGTTACCAACACCCTAACGTTGGAGCATAAAATCTTAAGGCCAGTAAATATTTTTCACATTTGCTTGTTATCAACTGAAGAACCTAGCAAAATGCAAACATTTAGAAGGTGACATTATCATTTCATTGATTAGATTGAATGTCCAATACAGAATAAAAAAAAAAAGAAGAAGAAAGAAAGAAAGAAAAGAGTAGTTCTCAGAGTCAGAAAATAATTCAATGGGGGTTTTCAATTTTTTAGATTAAATGATTTTTTTGTCATATTATATCCAATATACTACCATAAACTTAAAAGAAAATCATTACTTTTCAAAGTTCTGTGAAAGGGCAACAAAATATTTGTTAGTGATTATAAACAAGCTTCTCTGAACAAAATTTAAAATTTTTTGGTGGATTATTTTTATAACTTTGGATAGAAAAAAAATGCAAAATTAAAGAAACAAATGCACTCTGAAAAGGGGGAATTTTTCAAAGCTGTCCCTATTAATAGACTAATTTCATTAGAAAACTCTGGAAAGAGCAAACTCAATTTTACAAGCAGCTAAAGTGTTTTTATGGAAGAGAGGTATTTACAAGCAGTTATAAAAGTGATTTAACAGCAAAATTCTTTCTATAATCCTCAGTTTATTACACTTAAGCATTATGTAGCATGCCAACTTCTGTACAATTATATTTCCCACTTAAAGCAAATAATGGCAATTATGAATAATCATGGATTTTAGATACAGTAACCTTTTAATTTATTATCTTAACTAGGATGCTTTTGAGAGTGAAATGGTGTGTTAATAAGTCTGCCATGAGAACAGGTATAATCTGGTACTGGACCTGACAACCAGAAAGTATGGTCATTCTAATTAATATCATAGGTTTTTGAATTAGTGTTACAAATAAAACCTGATTGTTGTTCTGGGGATATGGCTCAGTGGTAGAGTGCTTGCCTGGCATGCCTGAGGCCCTGAATTCAATCCCCAGCACAAAAAAGAAAAAAAAAAAATGAGGAAATAGATTATAGAGGAAAAGACTAAACAAAATAAATATTAACACTTCCTTACCAATATCAATGTATTTGGGATCCAAGGGTGTGCCAATAGAATTACAAAGAACTAGCACAAACTGTGAACAAACAAAACAAAAACAAATATCACAACTCTTACTTACAACTAATAAAGAAATATATATCATACTTATCTTTTTCAAGTATCATTAACTGAGAAATAATTGATAAAATTGTTAGATGCAAAAATAGCAAATAAAAACAAGACAATCTAAGGCATTAACCATTTTAAAAATACAAATTAAAATTAAATGAAGGGTGATTTCTCAATATAACAGAATACCACAGTTTTTAAGAGGACATTTTAGAAATACTGATACACTGGCTCCTTTTCATCATGTGTACTTCTAAAATTCCTGACCAGCTATAACATCAAAATTCATTTTTATCTTATTATAACCAGCTATATAAGAACTAACTTAATTTGTTACCGTTGCACCAAATGTCTCCATTTCATTCTCCTCCTTTGAAGCAATATATAAACAACATGAGAAATTCAGAAAAATTCAGTTAATTCAGAAAAGACATAATCCAACCTAGTAAAAATGACTTATATTCAAATAATTATCAATGACTAATATTAGGAAGATAATAAAGCATGCTTTAGATCATACTGTTCTAAAGTGATAATTTCATTTTTCTTTCACTGTATCCTGTACTAACAGTACTATTCTATTTAGATGTTTTCCTAATCAGAATAATAATTTCAAATAAATCAATTTTATACATATTTTTGATACATATCTTTCCTTTTTCAGCATCTCAATTAAAACCTGTTTAATTAATTTCATAAATATAAACCAAATGATAAAAGGTATACTAAAAATACTATAATTTACCCTTCCACCCTTTAAAAGCTTATTTACTGTCCAAAATACCACAAGTTGTATTTTTAATTTACTTTTCATTTTCATCAATTATATTTTCAAAAAATAATTCTACAGGACTTCTTGCTAAAACTGGCACAGCATTCCTTTTCTACTCCCTTTAACTCCTGCTCTTGCTATTTATCTCTACAAATCTAAGTAACATATTTCTAGAGCTATTTCTGGTTTTGTTTTGTTTCAATCCAGTGCATTATCTGTCACCTTCCCACTATGAAAGATAAGAATTTTGCTTTTTTTCATCCCCTTTCCCAAACACCTGCCACCCAGGGGCATACTTCTATCCCTTCATCTTTCCACTTTTAACATAATTTTGTTAGATCAGAATTAGGACTAAATATTATATGTCAGTTTAAAAAATCAGTGATCGCATTATTTTGACTGTGTAAATGCTATTCAGCTGAGACATCCATTATACCATGATTTATTTTCCTTTCAAGCATAGTTTGCTTTCCCTGTAGTTTATTATTATCTTTATTTTTTCCTTTGTTTAGCTTTCTAGGCACCCATTACTAACTCAAATCCCTGATTTTCCTTAGTTAAGTCTATCTCCTCTCAAGGGTTCAAACATTCTAGGGAATCTAACAATTGCATACGTTTAAATTTCTTCGGAAACCTTCTGCCCTTCTAAGCTCACTGGCCTCCCTGGGCATGCTGCAGAGCAGTCAATTGGTACCACTCTTCACCAGGGGCCCTGTGCTCCTGTTTCTTCTTCTTTCTTCCTCTTTCTTGGTTTATTCCTCATTTTCATGGACATTATCATCAAGTAACTAACTCCCTAAAATGGGACACCACGGAAGGTAAAATTTTTATGACCTTGCACATCTGAAAAAGTCTATATTCCACCCTCACACTTAAGTGGTTTTCTTAGGATGTGGAATTTTAGATAGGAAGTCAGTTTCCCTCAAAATTTTAAAGGCGATTCTCCAAAGCATTGCTTTTCATAAATCAGATGTCATTATGACTCCTTATCCTATGAAATCTGTTTTTCCTCTCTGAAATCTTGTAAGACTCTTTTTTTTTTAAATCCCTAGTGTTCTGAAATTTCACAGTGATGTGTCTTGATGTGGAAACACATTTATTCAATCTAGAACCTCAAGGGAAATTTTCCTGGATTTTTTTTTTTTTTTAGATTCATTCCATGCTATTTTGCTTTTACAGTTTTCTTAGAACTATTGTTCAAATACTAAACTTCCAAGACTAAGTTTTCTAATTTTCTTCTTTTTCACTACTTTCCATTCTTTGTCTTTTTTGCTGTACTTTGTAGGGTATTTTCATCCAATTTCCTAACCATTCTGCCAAATTTTTCAATGGGATTCTCATATTTGTAACTTCTAAAATTTTCCTTTTCTATACTTATTCTTATTTTATAGATGGAAACCTCTTAAGTCTCTGAAGATAATCATGATGGTTCTTTGCAGAATATAGAATCTTTGAATTTTTCTTTTTGTCTAGTCTTTACTTCCTCCAAGTTCTTTTCTACTTGTGGTTATACTGGTATCTGTCTGTTAAATTCAATGCTTTCTTCAAATGTCTGAGAATTCTAATCTGTCTGCTGTATTTAAAAGTGGAATGCCAATCAATAAATGGGCAAAAGAATTAAACACAAATTTCTCAAAAGAAAAAACACAAACGGTCAACAAACATATTAAAAAAATGTTCAACCTGTCTAGCAGCCAGGGAAATGCAAATAAAAATTACACTAAGATTTCATCTCACTCCAGTCAGAATGGCAATTATCAAGAATACAAATAACAATAAATATGGCAAGGATGTGAGGGAACAGGTACACTTATACATTGTTGGTGGGAATGCAAATTAGTACAACTACTGTGGAAAGCAGTGTGGAGATTTCTCAAAAAACTAGGAATGGAATCACCACATGACCCAGCTATCCCACTCCTCCGTACTTATCCGAAAAAACTAAATCAGCATACTATCACAATGTAGCCACTGCAATTTTTATAGCAGCATAATTCACAATAGCCAAATTATGCAATCAACCCAGACACCTGTCAATGGATCAAGAAAATGTGGTATATGTACACAATGGTGTTTTACCCAGCCATAAAGAAGAATGAAATAATATTTGCCAGTAAATGGATGGAAATGGAGAAAATCATGCTAAGTGAAATAAGCCAGACTGAGAAAATCAAGGGTTGAAAGTTTTCTCTTATATGTTGGAGCGAAAGCAAAATAAGGGAAAGAAGTCAATGGGGGAAGAGATCAGATATCATAAAATATAGGGAAGATCAGTGGAGTAGGAAAATGAGAGGGAGAGAGGAAGGAAGAAAAACAGAAATACATTAATCAACAAAATCATGTCATATACATATATAAATGTACCAAAGGGAATTCCACCTTTATATATATATAGAAAGCACCAATCAAAAATAAATAAAGGAGGGGCTAGGGGTATAGCTCAGTGGTAGAACACTTGCCTAGCACACGTGGGGTGCTGGGTTTGATTCTCAGCACCACATAAAAACAAACAAATAAAGGTATTGTGTCCATCTAGAATTAAAAATAAATAATAAATACATAAATAAAGGAGCCAGGCACCGTGATGCATGCCTGTAATCCCAGTAGCTCCAGCTCGAGAGGCTGAGTCACACGGATCTCAAGTTCAAAGCCAGCCTCAGCAACAGTGAGGTGCTAAGCAACTCAGTGAGACCCTGTCTCTAAATAAAATACAAAATAGGGCTGAGGATGTGGCTCAGAAGTCAAGTGGCCCTGAGTTCAATCCCTGGTACCAAAATAAATAAATAAATGAGTAAAAGGAAGATCAGTAGAGGAGGGAGAAGGAGGGAGGAGGAATGGGGATTGAAATCAAATTCCTTGTATATATAATTTTATCCAAAGGAACCCAAATACTATGTATAATTATAATGCTCTAACAAAATAAAATTAAAAAGTGGAATACTAAAAGGCTACTTGGAATCTATTTGTCCACAAAACTGAGCATGGCTTTTACTGTGAAGTGATCAAGCAGGGTTGTTTTCTTGGAGATTCCCAATCTTAGTCTTTTCTCATGAGCTGATAAGATTCTTCAGAGAAGATTCTTTCAATCCGCTACCTCAAAGCCTGATGCCCTGCTGCCAGTGCTCTGGGAACCAAGTAGGGATAGAAGACCAGGGGTACTGACAAGTCCTGAACTTCTCATTTAATTGGTTTTCATCTGAGTTCTTCCACCCTTAGCTATGCGTGGTGCCCTTCAGTGCAGAGATCCCCTTTGATCCTTCCTGGAGATTTAAGCCCAGTCTTAATAGATGTTAAGCCAGCAGCTGCCCGTGTTCTCTTTCTATGGGGATCTGAGAACTTTCTTTGTTATATCTTTTTTTATATGTTAGTTTCTTTCTCAGGCACTCCAAGTCCTGTTCCTCTTCAACATTCTGTAACTAGATGCTTCTTTGCTTTTTCCATGAAAAGTTTATGGTTCAGCTTTTTCAGGCCTGCTAAGGTAATTATCACTAATCCACCTATTCTCTAACCTCCAAAATTTGTTGCCATTTCCTCTCCATTTCTGGTCCCTATGGGCTTGTGACTTTAAAAAAAAAAAAAAAACTTTACTGTTGTTCAGCAAGTTTCAGAAGAGAACAAAGCCAAATAAGGCTGTTCAAATGGTTACCTTTAACCAAAAATGTAATAAGGAAATAAATTATAACCTAGATAAAGACATTGGTAGTCCTATTTTGGAATATTTACATTTTTCTACAAATACTTAAATTATTAGTACACTTTTTAACAAGATATTATATGTACTATTTATTTTGTGCTCTGAGATGACTTTTAAACTAATATAATTTCAAATAAAAGATTTCTCAATGTCAAAAGCTTCCCAAACTGTTACAAATAGTCATTATTTTATCCGTTCTTTAGAATTTATTGCAGATATCTGGATATTCATTGTTTGCTTGTGAAATTTTAACTTGGAAAAGGATTATGGTGTTTTAAATATATTTCAGAGAAAAAAGCTTCAGTACTGAACCAGTCAATATGAACTGCCAATGATTAGCTGAATGGAGGGGAAAAAAATCAGAGAATACAGAAGCATTGGAGTCATATAGTTTTCCAGAACAGGTCTAGACTAACATGGCCAACAGACCCCGTGTTTCTGTACCTGCCAGTATCCAGGCCATGCTTGAGAATGTGGATAACTCTGGCCCAATTATGCCAACCAGTCTGTTCACCAGTCTGTGCTTTAAGATACCAAGGAATTCCTACCTGAGGATGACTTTCATCAGCTTTTGTAGCCAAAATGCAGAAATCGCCATAAGTGGTAATGGAAATGATACTCTTCACATATTTAACATATTTCTCATTGTTTTTAGTGTCCCAAAAGACAACACAGTACTCAGGACGATCTGGTCTGGTATATGCATACACCACAGTATTTGAACAATAGCCCCACTAGGAAGAAAGGAAGCAGAAAAGGGAAGGAATGGGAGGAGGAAAGAGGGAAAGGAAGAGAGAGGAAGGAAAGAATATTTAGTTTTGGGAGAAAAAATGCAATTTATTTTATTTTTACTCTAGGAATAATGCAGATAAGTACTTTATCGGTACTGACAAAATACATTCTTCAGAAATGGTAGAATTCCTGAATTCTGAATCTTCAGCTTCATACCTACCTTTTTTGCACTAAAATAACCAAAAAGGTAATAATAATACATTTTAAAAACAAAAAAAAAATGAGATGCCAAAATAAATTCAGTGTGATTAACCCTCCTTATTTTTAATTTTTAAGACTTAAGCTTCAGTGGTACCATAGCTAGTGTGAACCATCAATAGCGTTATCCCTGTCAAAATCTTAGATTCTGAGTCCTCAAGTCAATATTTAAAAATAGGTGTTTTGCCTTTCCCCATCCACATATTTTATGAAATTTATTCTTATATCAAATCTTTCTGCGTGATTTATTTAAAACAATAACAAAATGCAGATCCCTCCCCAACTTCCTCTCATGAAGAGCCTATAACATCTTTAGCTGTAACTATTCTAGTATTTATCACCACACTGCACAGCTATTGATTATGAAACTTAGGCACTTACAGCTTTCCCTTCTAACTCTTATAGTATACTTACATATAATTTTGAATAAATTAATTCTCATTGTCCACATTACTTTTACTATTAGTAGCTAATAATTGTGTTTACTTTTAATGCCATGATTATTTTCTACAATAAATGTTGACTTTAAAATAGTTTTAGATTTGCAATAAAGTTGCAAAGATAATACAAAGTTCCCATATACCCCTCATCCATTTCCCTATTAACAATTTACATTGCCATAGCACATTTGTCACAATGAAGAAACCAATATTACTATTACAACTAACTAAACTTCACACTTTGAGTTTCTAGCTTTTCCCTAATGTCCTTTTTCTATCCCAGAATCCCATTTTAGACACATTATATTTAGATAACATGTCTCCATGGACTCCTTTGGGCTGTGACAGTTTCTCAGTCTTTCTCTATTTTCAATAACCTTGGCAATATAGAGGAGTACTGCTCTGGTATTTTGTAAAGTGCCCCTCAATCATGGGGTTGTTGGTTTTTAGGAAGATCAACAGACACATGACACGATCTCAACACATCCTATTAGGAGGTACGTGGTATCCACATGACATCACTGTTGATGTGGTGTTCCTGGGGATTTCCCACTGTTAAGCTACTTTCTCTTTCCTCTCTCCATCCTCCATTCTTTGGAAGTGAGTCACCATACTCAAGCCAAGGAACTGGAACTATGCTCTACCTTCTGGAGGGGGAGTACATAAGTGAGATGGTATACTTCTGTAAGGAAGATCTGTTTCTTCTCTCCCATTTGTTTTTCATTAAAGTAAGGTAATTTTATCAGTATTGGCTCACGGACATTAACTTCATAATTTGGGTTATAATGAACTTGCAACATTTGTTTTATTCCTCAAATTGCTACACCTTAAGCCAAAGAGAGCTCTTCCTAGTTGTCTGCCATGTGCCTTTGACATGGCCACATTTTTTTTATGGTAGGGTTCTTTATTACTGTCTGGCATTGTTAAGATGCTCCAGACTTATGTTATATTTTCCTTGCTCTAGTCCTAGAATCAGTCATTTCTCTGAGGGGCTTTGCCCTTTAAATGAAATATATAAGATTCTTCATAACAGATAATTCATCAGATCATATTTCAAACTTGTTTTGGATCAAATATTAAGTTTAAGATAAAATAGTGATTAAATATCAAGTTGCTCTCTCATTTTTCCCCCTCCTAATCTATTCTCTGCCCTTCTCTATTCTGCTGAGCCCTGGAAACTGATTTCTATGAACTCCATCACCTGGGCTACCTTGCCAACTGGTGCTAGTTGGATTTGACCAGTAAAAGGCACATGAAGTAGAAAGATGGAGTATCTACTCCCCTATCTGTCTCTGCCTGGCCAGTTGGTGGTAGCCAAGCCCCTGCTGGGCAGCTTCTCTTACATAGCCAAAGCTCTCATGGAATGTTACTCCCTTGCCCCTTCCAACTGGGGGCACTGGTGATGGCATCTATTTGCTAAGCACTGGGTGCCTGCTTTATCTCCCTTGCTGTCCCTTAATACTACTCGCACATCTGTAACAAGCCCTTCAATTACTCTGGTGGGTGGGCCATCTGTTTCACACTGAGACCCTGACGCATAGGGTCATTTTACTAATTATACACAGTATACTAGAAAAGCTAGTTTTAAAGTCCTCGTGGACAACAAAAGCCTCCTTTCTGTTAGTTTCTAAAACAAAACCACTATGAATATAATGAGTTATAACAAATTATTTAGTTAAAAACACTTTATTTTACAAATGTTCTTAATACCTTATAATCGGGCCGAATGTTCGCAAAATATATAAAGGAATCAACAGTTAGTGCAATTTTCAGTCCATCTCCTTCCCAAGATAGTGCAGACATCTGCTTTCCAGGAACTTTCAAAGTGCCCAAATGCTGGGGAGGAAAAAAGTATTCAATCTAAAGTATCACAATGAACAAATTACCATTGAACATTTCATGGAGATCAAAAGTGGTATGAAGACTCTCTTGTGAAAGTTTATCACTAATTTTAAGATCATTTTCCTTGCATTTTAATTACAAGAAAACATGCGTATGATTGGAGATATTTATAGGCTATATCCAAAGAATATTAGGAAATGTCATCAAATCTACCATGCCATAGATTAAAATATACATCTTTACTTTTATGTACAACTAAGAAAAAACATGCTAATTAAAATATGATCACTTTGATTACATGATGTGTGCCAATTTTTTCTTTGTGTTCTCAGGATTGAACCCAGAAGCATTTGTTTACTGCTGAGCTACACCCCCAATCCTTTTAATTTTTTTATTTTGAGACAAAGTCTTGAACTAAGTCATGAAAACTGCTCTTGAATTTGATATCCTCCTGCCTCAGGCTCCTGAGTTACCGGGTTTACAAGCACGTGTCACCACACCTAGCCAATGCATCCAAATTTTAGACTTGTAAAAAGCTATACTTTTTAGAGTCCATGAAAGTTTATATTAGTAACTTCAATACTGAAGTCCTACCTTTCTCTTTCCTCCCCAACAAACAACCAATCACCAAGACCCATTGCCTTTGCTCCTTTCAATGGTCACAAAGAAAAAATTGTGGAGAAAACTATGGGAATAGCCTCCCTTTCATCTCTTTCCTTATTAATCTACCCTCTTTCCCCCAGATTCCCTCTCTACTCTGCTATTATAATTATCTTTCTGGAACAAAACTCTAATCATAACCTTCCCTGCTTTAAAAACATAATAATACTTTTTAAAAATCAACAGCTCCCCATTGATCATACATTCTTGAGCATGGAATACAATACCTTTTTCCCATCTGACCCAAAACTACCTTCCTTGCTGAATGCCCTACCATACAGCCATAGTTATGTGTGCCGACGTGTGAGAGAATACTCTGCCACCATACCTTAGGCCTGTATTGCAGCTCTTCTGCCTGAAATCCTCCTCTTCTTTCCCCATGCCTCCTTATCCTTACTATTCCTTGTCCTCCTGGAGAATCCCTCTTCATCCTTCAAATATAACTCAAGTAGTGCTTCCTCAATGAGCCTTGCCTTCTCTCCATGGTTCCAGGGAATGCAACAGTAAGTTCCTCAAGAGCACTCACTTCATGGTCAAATTAGTTTGTTCATATACTAACATTTGATAAGTGACTCAATAAGCAAGTCAATGAACACAGCCCTTTTAATCTATGGTTCTCATTTGACAGGCCAGTATAAATCCCAAAATTTGAATTAATTGCACTGGCATCCCGTATTCTGAAGCAGATGTATCTAAAGTCAAATTTCATGTTGCTTATGGTCTGAATGTTTGTCCCTTCCAAAATTTATGTTGAAATTTGACCTGGAAACAGTACTAAATGGGGAGGCTTTTAAGAGCTGACTAGGAATAATGCCACTGGAAAAGGGTAATTCGGCCCCTATTTTCTGTTTCTTGCCCTTCATCTTCCTGTCCCACCCTCCTCCATGTGATAACACAATAAGAAGGCCCTCACCAGATGCTGCAGCCTTGATATGGGACTTCTCAGCCTCTAAATCTGTGAGCAAATAAACTTCTGTTCACTATAAAATGTCAAAACAGTCTAAGACAAATGTACTGAACCCCATTTTGCCAAGGAAACCAATGGAAACAAAAAACTCAAGTTTTAACCTAGAAGGGTCCATCTTGCTGCCTACATGAATCCAAAAGGGAACTGAAAGTTTTTATGATCATACACTTGATATTGACCCATTCACAGAGAGAGAATAAAGCCATCTCCTAACTGTGCAAACCAATCAGGTGTTAGCTGCAGCAAGGGCAGAAACCAGACTTAGTAAGCACTGGTTATGTGCCAAGCACTGGCTATGTGCCAAGCCCCGGCTAGGTACTTCCTCATTATTATCTTCTTTAATCTTTATGATAGTACCAGGAGGCATTACCCTTCATTCACAAAACAAGTAAACTGGACTTCGGTGATTAACTAACTTAAGACAAACTACACTGTGGAAATGGGATTCAAAGCCAGTTCAACCTGACCTCAACCACATTATCCCCTGAGACTACAGTGCACAGCTAAGACCACAGTGCAAAACTCAGTGAGCCCTAACCTTCAGACTTGAAGCAGACTCTTCTCTGAGGTTTCTTTAAGTTTGAACCTTAGAGATCCTCTTTCCAAGTATCTTCCCAATTTTAACAATAAAATAGATCCAAAGATAAATCCCCCATATGTTCACTCATCCCAAAAATATCAAGTTACTAATATGCCCTGAAGAGCTACAACTGATACTTTTAAGTACAGCTGAACCAAAACCTTCTTATAGTTTTCAGGATATGCTTAACATACTGTTTTGCAAGATAAAATATATAGACCTTAGGACCCATGTTTTTCTACCTGGAAAAGGCTGAAGTAAAGGGGGAAAAAAACAGATAAAATAACATAATGTTAAATCAATGGGGACCCACAAAAATAATCAACAAATATGAGTGAAGATTATAAGAATATAAATTATTAGAATTCAGATTTTTATTTAGGTACCTTAAAAACTCTGATTTTGTTTTTGTTCTTTGTTTTAGTTTTTACATCTACCAGAAATACTGTTAGCCAACAACACACAGAGAGTGCCTCCTCTCTGCAATACATTCACTGGGTAACTCTGAGGTACTGATTGAAAAGCACCAGATAATATCATTTATTACCCTTACAGAAAAGTTCAAAATACATAAAAGTATTAATATTAAAATACAAAAACAATTAGTATGAACTTTTTTACTGCCAAAAATTCTCATTATTGCAATCTATGGTGAATTTACAAAAATTAACAAGGTATCCAAAAGGACAAAAATAGAGTATAAGGTTACCAAATAAGACAGGCAAATATATATTAAGCTCTCATTTTCTAAATTCACAATACATTAATTATCTTTTTTTTAAATATTTATTTTTTTAGTTAGAGGTGGACATAAAAATATGGAATTTATTTTATAATCTGTACATGTAGAAAGCCCTAAGTTTGATATAAATCACTGTGCAGTAGTTATTTAGAATATTCAGACTGTAGAGAAAATATTCTAAATAACTACTGCACAGTGATTTATATCAAACTTAGGGCTTTCTACATGTACAGATTATAAAATAAATTCCATGATAAAATAAAATGAAAACATGTAAAGTGAAGATATTAGTCAGACATATACTTGATATATCAAGATTATTACTCAAAATGTCCTTAAAAGAGAATGTGACAAGTTTGTACCTTTCCTCCATTCTTTTTTCCCTGCTTGCTACTATACCATTAAATGAAAAGAAGATAAACCAATACATTTACCTCACCAAATGGAGTGTAAAACTGCACCGTGTTAACATCTTTATCCTGAGTGACTGCTTTCTGAGAGCCTGCCACAGCTAACACACTGCCAGTTTGGTTCCACTGGATACTGACCACATACATGCCAGTATCAATCAAAACTGGATCTAGTCAAAAAGGGAAGGAAAATTAAGTAACTGTGTTAGCATCTTAGTTGAAAGGACTTGATATTAAGAACAATTTTCAAGTATGTTTTAAATTCTCCAATTTAAAAAAAAAAATAAAAACAGAAATTTTACTTACTTTGGTCATTCTCGTGTTTCATTATTTGGCATCTCCCATTGTCAAAACAAACAGCAAGGCAAGGGCAATCGGGCTCCACATAGCCCTCTGTGCCATGGTACCAATGAATTCCCGCAATGCTGATTGCTCCAGTGACGTTTACCAAACATTTCAGCTTCATTTTCATCTAGATAGAATTGGCTAGATTTAATATTTACATTTTGAAACAGAGCAGTATGAATGACACCATAAATAGGATTTAAAAATCTGGATGTGAATGCAAGCTTAATCGCTTACTGGTTTATCAACCCTGAACAAATCACTTATCTAACTCTATTTTCCCTGTGTATAAAATGAAGGTTAAAAAAAAAGGGGGAGCCAGGCATGGTGGTGCATGCCTGTAATCCCAGTGACTGGGGAGGCTGAGGCAGGAGGATCATTAGTTCAAAGCCAGCCTCAGCAATAGCAAGGCACTAAGCAACTCAGTGAGACCCTATCTTTAAATAAAATACAAAAAAAGGGCTGGGGATGTGGCCCAATGGTAGAGTGCCCCTGAGTTCAATCCCTGGTACCAAAAAAAAAATTTTTTTTTTTTTAAAGGAGGATGTGGGAGACTCAGATGACAAAAAGTATATGAAAGTACTTGGAAAATAGCAAAGTGTCATACAAACGATACCAATTTTATTTTCAGCTATCAGTGGATTCATGAACTATCCCAATCCTCACTCAAAACAAAACTGCCCCATCAGTAATCAGAGACCTACCACAGCTAAATCTTGCAAAACCAAAACTTTTCTCCAGATTATGCTACCTAAGCCTCCTTTCTTTTACCCTTTTTCTAAAAATTGATTTTTCTCCCCTATGGTTTAAGTTTTCCATTCTTTTTACAAACAACCATTAGTTACTACAAAAATAACTTTGGTATCTGCATGTAAACTTTGGCTTCAGGAAGCAGAAGATATTCTCAAAACTTAAACTATACATTATTCTACTGTATCTCTCTACTTCAATTTACTAGCACCTTGTCCCATCCAACTACCAAAAAATCAAACTTAAAAGCTACACTGTAATATGTTACATCAATTTGCCTTAAAGAAGCCAAGATTTGGTTTTAATTTTTTTTAAAGTTGGAAGATTATAAAAAAATTTAAAAGTCAAACTAACGACTAATTAGAGGGGCTTAGTGGCACACGCCTGTAATCCCAGTGACTCTGGACACTGAGTTAGGAGGATCTCGAGTTTGAAGACAACCTCAGCAATGCAACAAGGCCCTCAGCAACTTGGTAAGATTCTGTCTCAAAATAAAAAATAAAAAGGTCTGGGGATGTGACTCAGTAGTTAAAGCACCCCTGGGTTCAATTCCCAGCATCAATAAATAAATAAATAAATAAAGACTAACTACATAAGCCATCATAATAAATAAATGTGAGTTCGTATGAATGATATATTAAAAATCATATAAAATTATATACATAAAAACAACAAATATATATGCTTACTATAAAATTTCCTTGATTATCATAAATGTGTATTTCACCATTTGCCATTCCAAAAAGTAAGATTTTACTATCTGATGACCATGCTACATGGCACAACTGTACACCCTTCAGGTCTTTTCCCCAAATACGATTGCCTAAAACAAAACATAAACATAATTATTTAAAGTTCAGATTCATGATCCTCCAACAGCTGCTTTCAACATTTTTGTTTCCCTAAAGAGTTCTCACATTCCTCTCAGCATTCATGCAGTCATTCAATTTATTTGGTCAATAAATATTTACTGAGCACTTATAGGAGCAAAATACCCCAGAGACATTTAAAATAGCAGCTGTTTCAAACTCTCCCATTTCTAAACTGATGCAGGTTTTCACTCCCAATTAACAGATGAGCCCATCTTCTACTTTGGAAAAGAAATAAAAGCTCCCGAAAAAGAAATTCAGGACATTTAGAACATAACTAAATCCACACTTATCCACTCTGCTTAGCTCCCTGATACAAAGGAAGAGGTATCTCCCAACCAGACCTCTGTCTAAGGTTAATCCTTCCACCTAATCTATGATCTAATCCATTCCATCTTTGCAAAAATCTCCCTTGGTAAATTATTCTCATTTTCTTTTTCTCATTACACTTATCTTTCTAGGCTCTTTCTAATAAACACTTAAATATATGCATATCTTCTAAATCATCACCTCAAACAAAATAAAACAAAAAAAACACTTTCCTCAACTCTAAGCTCTCCATCTCGCTACCATTCTATTTTTACCATTCCCTCCCAACCAAAATTCAATAAGTTATTGAGGCTGACCTCAAACTTGCAATCCTCCTGCCTCAGCGGCCTGAGTTGCTGGAACTATGGGAAAAAGCCACTGTACCCAGCTTACATTCTTAGTTTCTAAAACCATAGCTATTGCTCTATAAAATTCTCAGAAATATTCACTGACTACAATATATATATATATATATATATATATATATATATATATATACACACACACACACACACACACATACACACACAGATGTGAAAATGACTTTAAAATGTTATTTCTCTATCAACAATTTCATTCACATTAATACAAAGGTGCTGACTTACAGAAGACCCAGTTTCATCTACATACTAGAATCTGAAAGACATAGGTTTTAAGGTTATAAAATACAACTAACAGTGATATACTATCTTCTACTGAAAATACCATATATTATTATGATTTTATATACTTTTTGAAAATAAAATCTATGCATTTATATGGTCTAACCAATATAAAGATGAATTATATAATGGACATATTTAAAATAATGCTGAAAAATTAATTCATTTTTTTCAGTGCCACTGTAGGAAATCAAAAAAGAATAGATTGTTTTCTCATGTAGACTTAATAAATGTTTAGGACCAAAAGGTGCTTCTTAGATTTCAGCAAAATGTATAGCGACTATTTTCTCTTTTTATGTCTATTTTTCAATCAGAATGTTAACAATTAACTTAAATCTCTAAAGATAAAAAAGTAAGCTAAATGTTGATCTTAGTCCTATATCCAATAAATGCAATTACCATCCACTGAACCCACTATCACAGCCCCATCTTCATACACAATGCAGATCTTCTGTCCATCAGCATTCCAACTCATACTTCGAACCACTGATTTATTCCGATTGTTGATCATTTCCTCATACCAAGAGCCTGATTTCACAAATTAAAAAATTACAAGTCAAAACTTTCACATCTATTAAATGGTACTTAAGAGTTGACAACACTTCATAAAGTACACTGTGCAATAAATAATTGCAAAGTTTTGTACAACCTGAGATATTAAACTAGAAAACCTTCAAATCAACATAAACAAAAGAAAAAATTAACATAGGCCTTGACTAATAATCTTTTCAAAGACTATCACAGAAAACACAACAAATGCCCAGCTCTTTTCTTTTTACTTTCTCTCTTTTTCTTGCTTTCTTCTTGTCAATTAAAAAAGAAAATTTCATTTGCTTTTGCAGGGCCAAAACAAGTTATTTTTCTGAAGGCCTAACTTTTCCCACTTGAAAACTTTATCTTTTCAGATAATAACTAAGCAGGGGGGAAAACAGAATAACAACAACCTTATATGTATGCATAAACTCTCTGATGACTAGTTTAAGCATATGAGGTAAAAGCACATTAAGTAAAACTCTTAAAGTCTGCTTTAAAAAAATTCTTAAGCAATTCATGTTACATCAGTGGTACATTACATATGCCATCACTAATGCTGAAGAACAAAAACATTTGAGCTACACAGAGTTGGAGAGAGATGTGACTTCTTTCATAGTACAACCCAATTAGAAGCAAAAGAACAGGGAATTTCGTCTTATTTTTGTGTTTTTTAAAAACTTTACCATTTTCTGGCCTAGGGAACTCTGGCCATCAGCCAAGCAAATGTCATGTGATTTGAAATAACTGGTCAGCGCAGGGTATTAATAGAATTAGGATTGAAGCCCAGAGAAAATTTATCTTGGAAACAAAGTTCACTCCCATCTACTTTACTTTCTGCCCCACTCCACTTTTCAAATACACATACTTTAAAAATAATATTCAAGCACTATCACATATTTTTTAATTATAGGTTTGTAAACAACATACCCTGAACCTTTTGAAAACAACACACATGTACCTTTCCCTTTAGAAGACAATGGCTACAGGCTTCAAGAGAACATGTATCATGAGTTGCTTTTCTAGTAATAATGATGTATCTAAACTAATCCTTCTCTTTCCCTCTCCATCTTACTCTGTCTCTTATAGATAAGAGGCAAAAATTGTAGGTCAGTAGCCAGAGCCAAGATAAAATCTGTATCCATGAAAGAAAAGGAAGCTGACTGGTCCAATATAGGAAGTGAATTACTATTGCTGCTGAATTCTTCATAAATGTGCTTTCTTCTAGTGTACTAACTTCAACCACCAGCCACATAGGACCTAATTCTTGTTGGAAATCTGCAGGGGTTAGAGGAAGGAGAAGAAGAGCTATCTAAGAGTAGAAACTATTTTACCAAGTTAATAAGTTCACTTTGGAGTCACTTAATTTGCTTTCTTAATGCAAAGTTACAGCTCAAAGGAAATAAAATAAAAAGTAAGCTACAATAAATCCAGAAATATCATCACTATGCAGTCAGCTCTTCTGGTTACCAGGGGTCTATTTTAGAGATGTTATTTCTCCATCCAAACACTGTGATCCAGACTCCAATTTGTGAAAGATTAAAGCAGCTCTCCTAATGTACCTTTATATAACATCCAGACAATGATAAGCCCATTTTGATCACTGGTGGTCAATTTCTGATACTGTTCATTCCATGTTACAACTTGAACAGAACCTAGAACATTGGAAAATAAATTAGACACTTAAAAATGGCTAAAATTAATTTCAAATTTGTACCTTTATATAAGCAAACATCAAGAACATGTTAAAATCAAGACTTCCTATGCAACTAACCAGTTTTTCAAATATTATGAATATCAAAAATATTCATAGGATATAATTACTGAGATCACTAATTTCCTACAACAATGCTTAATACTCTCACATCCATCCCTATTTCATGTCTGCAAAGGCACACTTCATGGAAAGCTGCCAGTAAATCAGATAGTGGAAACAAAAATAAGCATGATTTACCAAACTGGCTTGCCTCCCAAGGATAATGATGTCCAAAGGACACCAAGTTGTTCCCTTAAATTGTTTGTTCATTTTTGGTTGAAAATGCCCATTATCTGTTTCCCCCTTTCTAACCTCCCAGGTTTCTATTCTATTTGTAACACACTTTAAGTATATATTAAACGGGTAGGTGACATTAGTAATTGATTTCTTTTAATTCTTATATCTCTAAATACTTTGTATGTATTTTTAAGGATACTCTCTTTCATAACTAACTTACAAATTTAAAAATCTAACCTGATAAAATATCATTACCTAACACACTGTCCACTTTCAAATTTCAATTGTCAAGGTGTCCATTTTTATGTTTATATTTATTTATTTATTTATTTATTGCCTTATTGGGGATTAAACCCCGGCCCTCATACGTGCTAGGTAAGCTTTCTTTCACTGAGTTATATTCCTAATTCATTTTATTTTACTTTGAGCCAGGGTCTTGCCAATCTTCCCAGGCTATCCTTGAACTTGGGATCCTCCTGCCTTAGCTTTCCCAGTAGCTGGGACCACAGCATGCACCACTGTACCAAGTTGTAATATTCTTTATAGATACTTGTTTTTTCTCATTCCAGGATCCCATTTAGGATCATATTGTGCATTCAGTTGTTACATCTTTAGTATCCTTTAATCTGTAATTATCAAACAATCTTTAAAAGGAAAATAATATGTATGTATTATATATACATATAGATGTATATATGTATGTCATCCACAGAGAAATAACAGTATTTTTCACATATAACACCTACTTTTTTCAGGTTTATGGAAGAATGAATGACTCTGGACAATATTAATTATGACTCATAAAAATAATATCACAATTATTTAAAATGTTGACATTTCTACATTAAGTAAATGGTTTCTAAATGACTAACTACAATTTACACATAATAAACAAAACTGCTGGACTCACCACTATGACCTTCAAGAGTCTGATTCATAGAAAGATTACTAGGGGCAGCAAGACCCCTCAATTTTGCATCATCTAAAAAAAACAAAACAAAGAAAACTACCATGAACAATGAAAAAAGGAGAAACAACAATGGGAATTTTGATGAAGGGGATGTTAAAGAGAGGCAGGACTAGACTTCCAGCTTGACCAAACGAGTGAAATTAACATACAAGTTGAAACAGAACTGAAAAAAGGTTTAAGAGATCAACAGTTCCATTTTGGACATAGTAAATACGAAATGCCTATGAAAGATTCCAGTGGAGATGCCCAAATCTGAAAATTCAGGACTGTTCTGGAGATATAAATGAGGGATCATCACCCTACAGATAGCATTTAAGGTCATGGGAATAAAATAACAAACCTAGAGAGCAAATATAGAGAGAGCCCAGACACAAGTTCTCAGGAATTCCAATTGTTAGAAAAGAAGAATCTAGCAAAGTGACCAAGGACTGTTCAGTCATCAGACAGGAAGGTAGAGTGGGAATATATTTAAATATGTTTAAATATGACAAAATTCAAAATGTTTGACTTCTTCTGTATTGAAAAATGTTTCAAAAAAAAAGAAAAGAAATGGTCAAACACATAGTGAGAAAGAACAACATAGACCTTGTCTCAGAAAAACAGAAACTAACACTTTCAATGTTGAACAAAATACATTCATTTCTTAATGTAACTAAAACTTTTACATATTTTAGACAAAATAAGTTGTGTATATATATATATATATATATATATATATATATATATAATATATGTTTTATATATATATATATATATATATATATATATATACACACACACACACACATCCATACACATTTAAAAAACATACCAGAGATATTTTTCTTTTAACAGAGTTAAAAGATTAAACTACAAAACATCAGAAGCCAAACTTTGATACTTAAATATCTATCTTCCAATCTGCCTTTTATTTCACATAATTAGTGTAGCACATCAAAACAATTATACTATTCTTTGCTTAGGATGCTCATGAGCCCTTCGTGTAGTGTTACTTATAGGCTATGTGACCTTGGGTAAGTTATTAAATGATCATAGCCCCAGTTTTCTCACCTGGAATACCCACCTTTCAAGAGTATTGTAAAGCCAAATGAGACAGCACAGGTTAACCATCCAATACACAGGAAATATTTAATAAACACTGTTCAAAGGGTAGTCGGAGCATTAGCAATACCAGCATCACTACAGATGCAAATTCTCAGGCCCTGTCCCAGATCTACTCTGGGGACGGATCCCAGAAATCCATTTTAACAACCTCTTCTGGTGATTCTTATGCCTGACAAATTTTGAGAGGTCATGCTATAAAGGAACCCAAAATGTAATATAGTTTACCTCATTTGACAAAATAATGAACCAAAGTCCAAAGATATTAAGCAACTTGCTGAAAGTCATTCAGTAATCTTGTGGCAGAACTGATTCCAATGTCAATCTCTTTATCTAGATCTCCAACCTAGATAGGGATTACCTAGATCCCTAATATAGAGTAATAGTATGGAAGTTAAATAAGAATAAAATTGTTCACTGTGATTCCAGAGAACTATAAAAAGAAAGAAAGCAAGCTACAAAGATAAGAGATCTATTAATAAAGGGGTAACATATATTCTATTTTCTGTTTGGGGGCACTAGTTGTATAATCACAATACATCTGATAAGGAAAAAAAGATGATATGGACCTGTAAAATAATTGCCAAAATGTGAGATTTTGTGATGTTACTGAAATGTTGATTGGCATGATTTTTATTAGACTCCTAATAACAGAGGGCAATAATTGGACCTGGCACAAGACAACATAGTGACTTGGTTTCATCTTTCATTCATTTTCATTTCCCATCAATAATTTCAGCAAAAGCTGAATGTTCACATTTGACATTCTCTGAACTTTTCTCTAGAAAAATGTCACAAGATGTTAAGGGTTTTTTGTTTTTAAAAGAATTAGAATTTCATATTGACAAATACCAAGAGCATATGGCGCTGAATCAATGACACTTTTCCTTTTTCTATAATTTCAGACATGTGAGCTTGCATTCATTTACCTGTCTGTGTCTCTAATTTCAAAACTTTCAGTAATCCATCTTCACCACCACACGCTATGAACCCTTGGTCCTTGTTCCAAGATATGCATTTTAGCTTCACATTATTGGGAATGGAAATCTGTAAAAGCAATCACAGTCATGTTAGCAACTTTTCACGAAGGAGTTGGGAAGTACGTCTACAGATGAAAAATGATGAAAGTCTTTGAAGAAGAAACACGAAAGCCTTGCAGGAAAAAAAAAATGCGCTGTCATGAAAATGGGCATGTTCCTCTGAAATGTCCCGTGCTCTACAATTTGATAAAGAAGGAAAGAAGTGCACACAAGACAAAGGCGGAGGCTGCGGGGGAAAGCCAGGAGGTAAGACACCTGAGGTATTTTTAAAGGGTGGATGAGGGCTGGAGGGTTATTGACCCATTCCACCGGTCTGTATTCCCTTTCCCCCTAGAACACTTAGACTACCTTTTGTTAATTTTTTTCTCTTGCGCGGTGATGATCCAAAGTCATCTGGATCCTGACTGGTGATAGATCACCTAGTGATCTATCCCGCTGGCTACCCAAAAGGACCCGGTGGGGAACAGGTATGGCAGAGACGCGTGAGAGAGTTTCTGGCTTGGCTAAGGGGGACCAGGGGTTCCGGGACCTCAGAAGGTCCGGAGCCCGACCAGGCGGGCAGCGGGGCAGCGGGGTAGCGGGGCAGCAGAGCCGCGATCGGGGCCCGGTGAAGCCGCTTGGCTTAGCGGGAAGGATGCGGGAATGGCCCGTGGGCTGCGGGCACTGAGGAGGAGCGGGGCGGCCCCCGGAAACTCACTTTCTTGCTCAGGTAGAAGAACATCGTGGGAACCCAGAGCGAACGGCCGAAGCGGGCAAAGCCCGCCGCTGGTCACCGGTTCGCCGTCTCCAATTCCGAGTACCAGCGGCTCTGGATGGCTCCCGTCGCCCTGGCAACCGCCGCTACCCCGGCGCATCCGGGGCGCGAAGAGGCACTTCCGGTGTCGTCCTAGCCCCTGACGTCGTGCGCCTGCGCAGGCTCTGAAGACCCGGCACGCCACACCTGGCATGGCTGTGCCTCAGGTGTCCTTAGTGTCAGTACAAACAGGAAAGGTGCCCAAACCAGTAAGGTCACCAGGATCTGGTGTTTTGTAAGCTCCACTGTCCCATCATTCATAAAAGGAAAAGTCATTTATTGCACTTGGTATCTAGTGCCATCGGCCAGGCGGCGCAGATGTGCGTTTTGAGGATTGGTTGCCTTGTGCTTTGGGGCATTGCAGGGCCCTCTGGGCAATCTGAAAATAGGAGACTCTGTTTATTTTGTTTGGGAATTTTTAAAAGAGCTCCTTATAAAAGGAAAACTATGAACTTGGGCTCATTACAGCTACAGTTGCCATTGAGGTATAGCCTCCCTTTTTAAAATATTTGAGCTGTTTAGTGTCTTCTCCCCTGGGATAGACTTTTCTGTAGATACCATTTTTGATTTATGTAATCTAGCGTGTACTTTATGCGGCAGCGTTAATTTCCCCACTTGGAGTTTTTCCCCTCCCAGGCAAATAATCTTTAAATCTTTTGATCCAGGTCTGTTGTCTCACCCAGCACATACTAGAATTAGCATGTACTAATTCTAAATTCCTAGTCTGTTTCCCATCAAATCTGAACTCCTGCTGGGGTTGTGGCTCAGTGGTAGAGTGCTCACCTAGCATGTGTGAGGCACTGGGTTCTATCCTCAGCACCATATAAAAATAAATGAATAAAATAAAGGTATTTTAAAAATCCTGAACTCCATCTAAAATCAGATCCCTGGTTCTGGGTGTAGCTCAGTGGTAGACTGTTGACCCAGCATTCAGGAGACCCTGGGTTCCAAGTCCAGCGAGACAAAAAGAAAAACAGATCTTTCCTCAGTCCTGAAATGTCTTACTGTGGTGCCCCACTCTAAGTCAATCGCTTTCTGAATTAGCTTTCCATGGGCTCTGCTTTCCATGCTATTTTAGATATCGATATCTATGATGTTCTTATTCTCTCAGAGTCCAGTTGTGTCCAAGCCATACCAAATCAGGTCTACTGAGGAAATCTTTTCAAACTTAATTCCTATCCCATTCAGATATTTGTTTTCAAATGTTTGGCTAGATTTCCAGCATTAAACAGTAAACCAGGAGCCTATGATATAAATCAGTCATAGAGTCATAGACTCATGACACAAATCAGTATTATCTAAGCTAAGGATTTTCACTCAGGTGGTCAAGACATGATACACTGAAACTAGTTGCTGTGAAGCTAGTTTTCCCTCTTGAAAACTCATTTCTCTCTTTAAATAAATACCTTTCCTTCCTTGCACATGAGTTCTAATTATTCCTTCCAGTATTTCTTTGTGATATATCACCATGTGTAACCAATTCTATGTTCAGATATATTTGAAAAATATGGTAGCTCTACATCATTTCCTTTCAAATATTTTGAAAAAATGCAATAGATAATTCATATATGCTGATTTGGTATTTATTTTTCATTTCTTTAAATTTCATATGTTAGGTTTACATCTATAGGTTATATTTGCTTTTCAGGAATTTATATCAATGTAAACTTCATCATTATTGTACCCAAATTTTGATATTTTCTATTATCCCTCTCCCACACCATAATGATTAAAGCTTTTCTATTCAATCTGAACTTAAATTTATAGACTCAAGAATATGAGACTGCAATAGCCAAGTTATGGAACCAGCCCAGTTATTTGTCAACAGATGAATGGATAAAGAAAATGTGATATGTATACACAGTGGAGTTTTATTCAGTGAGAAGGAAGAATGAAACTGTGCCACTTGCAGGAAAATGGATGGAATTTGAGAGCATTATGTTAAGTGAAATAAGCCACATTCAGAAGTGAAGGGTCATGTTATCTCTCATTTGTGAAAGCTAGAGGGGGAAAAAGGGTCAGAGTGTGTCATGAAAATAGAAGGGAGACAGCAGAGTAGAAGAAGGACACCAGGGGAATGAAGGAGGGAAGGGAAAGGGGAGATATAGAGGAATTAAATTGACCAAATTGTATGAATGAAGGTATATATGAATATGTCACAATGAATCCCCCTATTATGTACAATTGTAATGCACCAATAAGAAATTTTTTAAAATAAATAAATGAACTAAAAAAATTCTTAGGTATTAAAATATAGTCCATAAGAAAGAAGTTATATGGGACAAGTAGAATATATATAAATAATGCATTTGTAGCGTAAATGGTATAAAATTTCAAAAAAATTTAAGCGTGAGATTAGATTATAGGAAGAATATTAATACTCTGTCCTTTGACAAGAAGCTGTTATATTCAAATAATTATTCAGTTCAACATAAAGAAATGTGTTCAATAGACAAAATTAATGTGAATTAACAAAAAATGGTCATGACATTAACACATAAAGATAATAACTTTTTATTATTAAAAACAATTCAAACCAAGAAAGAATTGATTGCTACACAACTTTAAAGGACTGTTTTGTTCTAAAAGTTTAAGCTGTAGAGATAAAGTATATGTATCAAATATATAAGTGAAAAATGTTATGCTTATTACTAACATTTAAAAAGACATTAGATTTTGTTGCTTGTTATATCAATTCTACAAATATATCATGTTATCAGTTGATCCTAAAGGAAAATGATAAAATAAATTTAGGACATTTTGCTCTTGGTAAAAAGTTTAGCACCCTAAATTCACAACTAATGCTCTTTAGTCATGCATTTCTAAGACCAGAATGAATTAAAAATTGCATGTAATATTTACTTAATTAACTACTTTTAAATATGTGTATTACAATCCCTTGATCAGAGTTTCAATAATACTCCTGCAAAAATTAACAAAAAACAAAAAGTGTTTAACAGTTCTAAATTATATTAATTTCAATTTTAATTATATGAGCTTTTCATGTGGAAATACTGCATACCATTTGCACTCTTGGTAATAAAATGGTTTATTTTAGAAATATTATCAAGAGAAAATATATCTTAAGTTTCCATTGTGAATATGATTATCTTACTAATATAAACATTTAAAATTAAATGGCTCAATTAGTAGATAATTTTAAAAATTGAACTTTTCATTCTACTTCCTACCATTTCACAGTTAGAGCATAGAAACACTAAAGTTTGCCCTTAATAAGAATATGCACATTTATTTCCTTGGAAAAATGATACCGATTCTCCAGAAAATCGTCATACTATTTATCTGGCAATATTCAAGCATTTATAATGGCAAATAATTAGCAAGAACATTGAAGATACGAGTGTGCAAAAGTATATTAATTGCACCAAGTTTTCTACATTTCCACATTTTGAGCAATCTAACGATGTACTTGTCCATATTCATTTACTTGCAGCTTCTGCAAAATGTCATCAAGTAGCTAGTTGTTAAGGCCAACACCATTTATTTCTACACATTAGAAAACAAGCACACTTTTAAACACTTTTACACAAGATAAAAGAAAATTGTGTCCTAGTATAAGTGAGGAAAAAGAACTAGACTATTTTCTCAGCAAAAGTCTCATCTAACACTCAGAAGTTCAATTCTTTTGAGATCTTGATAAAGTCAGACCACTGCAGTGGTCTTCAGATATTTTTGCTCATATGAAATTCAATTGGACAAATACTTATTAGTAAGATGGATAAAGGGAGCAACATTTATGAATTCTTGATTAAAGGAATTATAGGTCCTCTGGAAATTTTGCTTTTCTAGAAAAAGCATCTTATTAGATTCAGGGTAAGAGAGAGGTGTGTTTTTCTTGTGTAGTTAGGAAAATGGCAATCCTGAAATGGAAGATGAGAAACGAACATGCCAGCAGATTCCAAGTAGCATCTTGAGCAAGTGAAGTATTTGGAAATTGATTCAATTTGAACTGAAAAGTCTCCATACTCTTAAGTTGTACCAAGATCTGAATTCCACTCCTCTAAGGTAGCAGAGTAGTTAACTTGAGCTGGGCTGAGAAAAAGTACTTTTTCTGTTAGTATTTTGAAGTGTTGGTTTTGAAAGATCCTAAGACAGTATCATGTTACATTTTAAAATCTGTTTTTGAACACCTGGCTAGCCAAAGTGTGGAATCATGAAATCTGAGATATCACACCTCATCAGTCAGCTGATTTGTTCTGCACAGATGCAGATTCTGAACTAAGATGGCCATATAAAGGAAGCATAGGATAATTACCTCATCTGTTGAGTAAGAGCTCAATTTGGAGCATACATGCCATGGAAAAGCACTAGGAAATGTAATAGTTATGCAGCTTTTACATGTAAATATAAATGGTCTATTAAAGTATTTTAAAGAACTCTAAATTGAAAAAAAAAATGTATATTATTGCTGCTTATCTTAAAACAACAAATAAGGCCCTTGCCTTCATAATATCCTAAAACATTTGGCTCATTTGTAGTACTTTCACTGGCTTCAAGAAGAAGCAGAAAACCTTCTGGAAAGGATATGTTTGGTGTTCAGTCTCTGGAGATAGGAGCTGACCTTCTCCTGGTAAGCTAGTGTGGCCTCACACCCACATGCATCTTCAGTAGAAATGAGTCTCCGTGCCTCTTCAATGGCTACAATGATAGCACATAAAATGTTATGGATACCTAAAGTATAAAAAATCATGAAATATACAACTCAATGTTACCTTTTTTTTTTTTTTTTGGGGGGGGGTTGGTAACAGTAATTGAACCCAGAGGAGTTCAATCCTGAGCCACATCTCCAGCCCTTTTTGTTGTTGTTGTTCTGTTTTGTTTTGTTTTTTTTCTGAGACAGGGTCTTGCCAAGTTGCTTAGGGCTGTGCTGAGCTGCTAAGGCTGACTTTGAATTTGTGATCCTCCTGCCTTAGCCTCCTGAGCCACTGGAATTCAATATTACTATTTTTAAGACTTATTGAAATGCATTTTCCAGGAGGTAAAAGGATATAAAAACAAATGGAAGAGGAGAAACTACTTTGGAATAATGAT